CCTGCGTCAGTTTTCCCGCCTCGACATCTGTAACCTGACACCGGACACACTGAGCAGCGACGAAGTAGGCCACTGGAACCACGGCGAGTTCGAAGGCGTGTGGAGGGTTGGCTCCACTGCCGGAGGCTGCAGGAACTACCCGGGTACAGATCAGTGAGCTCATCTACAGTGAGCTTAGTCTCCTGATAAGATCTGGGTTTTAGTCTCATTTCTGTCTTTTATTTTTATGTCTTATGAACATTTTGAGGCTCCCACATTCTCCATCTTTGTTGTGTTAGTGTCTCATCATTAGCATTAGCATTAGCATTAGCACAGCAACCTGTGCTACCAGGAACACTGTTGACTCTCTTCCCTTAGTGCATCCTGGTGCCATGTGTTCCCCAGGTAAGCGACGCACACAGCCATCCACAAGATGTAAAAGAAAACATGATTCATCAGACCTGGCCACCTTCTTCAGTATAGACTCCCTGACTGGTCCCAGACCAGCAGACTGCTCTGCACTGTGTGTTCTGAGCCCAGCATTAAGTGTTTCAGCAGTTTGAGCTACAGTAGCTCGTCTGTTGGATTGGACCACACTGGCCAGCCTTCACTCCCCACCTGCATCAATGAGCCTCAGCCCCCCATGACCCTGTCTCTGGTTCTGTTCCTTGGACCACTTTTGATAGGTACTGACCTCTGCAGACCGGGAACCCCCCACAAGAGCTGCAGGTTTGGAGATGTTCTGACCCAGTCGTCCATCACAATGTGGTTCTTGTCAAAGTGGATCAGATCCTCACACTGCCCATTTTTCCTTCTTCTAACACATCAACTCTGTTCACTGTCTGCCTGATATACCCCCCCCAAACATGTTCCAAACATCACGACCGCTGAATATTACTGGGATGTTCGGACAGTTAGCTTTTACTGGAGTAAACAATCAGTAGAGTATAACTGATACTTCTTCCAGCTTCATTCAGTGCTCACAGTGAAACCTCAGATTGTTGTAATACTTCCTTTATAGTGTTTTGGTGCCATATTGAATGTGGCAGTGTGTAAACTGAGTCCTGTGTTCTCTCTGCAGCCACGTTCTGCTCCAACCCTCAGTTCTTCATCCGGCTGGAGGATGTGGACGACGACCCTCACGACGGCGAGGATGGCTGCACCGCCCTGATTGGTCTGATGCAGAAAGACGCTCGCAGGGAGAGGCGTTTTGGACGCGACCTCAACACCATCGGATTCGCCATCTACGAGGTACAAGTACACACACGCACACCGGGGTGGAAGAAGGGTTAAAAGTACTAATACAAGCATTTAGAAATTCTCTACTACAAGTACAGGCGTTCAAAATCCTACTTAAGTAAAAGTACTGTAGTATTATCAGTGAAGTACTGCAGTACAGTCAGTAAAGTACTGACACACAGACAGGAAACAGCAGCCAGTCCTTCCATAGATTTAATTAATTAATTCCTTGTCAGAATAATCAATAATGAAATCAATCAATAGTCCCAGCAGGTGATGGACAGCTCTGGATGTAGTCTGACTTCTGATGGATGATTGTCTGTCTTTGTGTTTTTGCTGCAGGTTCCTGATGAGGTGAGCTCACATTCTCCACACAGACACACAATAACATCACAGAACCATAAAGTCACATAGAACCTTCCTCGTTCCTCTTCTTCGCTCGGATTCTTCATCACTCACACACGGATTACACACAGGCTAACTCAACAGAACCACCACGGCAGGTCTTCCTCAGAGGCAGATCATTGTCAGTGTTTCTGGTGTTCTGGTGTTCTGGGTCTCAGGAGGCAGAGCAGGTCGTCCACTAATCAGAAGGTTCCTGCTGCATGTCGAAGTGTCCTTGAGCAAAATACTGAACCCTAAACTAGAGCCAGGAATCGAACCGGTGGATCGGTGGACGACCTGCTCAACCTCCTGAGACACAATTCAATTCAATTCAATTCAATTCAATTTTATTTGTATAGCGCCAATTCATAACAGAAGTTATCTCAGGACACTTTTCAAATAGAGCAGGTCTAGACCGAACTCTTTATAACATTAATTACAGAGACCCAACAGTACCACCATGAGCAAGCACTTGGCGACAAGGGCAAGGAAAAACTGCCTGTTAAAAGGCAGAAACCTAGGACAGATCCTCCGGCTCTAGGTGGGTGGTCGTCTGTCTCGACCAGTTGGGGTGAGAGAGAGAGAGAGAGAGAGAGAGAGAGAGAGAGAGAGAGCGACAGACAGACAGACAGGTGCACAGCAACAACAGTATTGGCAATGGCAGTCAAGCAGGACCATGGCAGGAGGCTCCACCAGGATCCATGAGAACCTGCGAGACGAGAAAGCACAAGAACTCCGGGGAAGAAGTGAAGTTAGTAACATGCATTAAAGGGACATGAATGAGTGCAGAAAGAGAGAGGAAGAGAGTAGCTCAGTGCACCATGGGAAATCCCCCGATAGTCTAGGCCTATAGCAGCATAACTAAGGGATGGTTCAGGACTCACCTGATCCAGCCCTAACTATAAGCTTTATCAAAGAGGAATGTCTTAAGCCTACTCTTGAATGTGGTGAGGGTGTCTGCCTCCCGAACCACAACTGGAAGCTGGTTCCACAGGAGAGGAGCTTGGTAACTGAAGGCTCTGGCTCCTGTTCTACTTTTAGAGACTATAGGAACCACAAGTAGCCCAGCATTCAGAGAACGTAGTGTTCTAGTGGGGTAATAGGGTACTATGAGCTCTTTAAGATATGAAGGGGCCTGACCATGAAGAGCTTTATAGGTGAGGAGGAGGATTTTAAATTCAATTCTACATTTTATAGGGAGCCAATGCAGAGTAGCTAGTACAGGAGAGATGTGATCTCTTTTTCTAGTTCCTGTCAGTACTCGTGCTGCAGCGTTCTGAATTAATTGGAGCGTTTTAATGGACTTATTGGGGCAACCTGATAAAGAGTTGCAGTAATCCAGCCTTGAAGTAACAAATGCATGGATTAGTTTTTCTGCATCTGTCTGTGATAGTATGTGTCTAATTTTTGTAATATTACGTAAATGAAAGAAGGCGGTCCTAGAGGTCTGCTTTATGTGGGAATTAAATGACAAATCCTGATCAAAGATAACTCCAAGATTCCTGACAGTGGTGCTAGAGGCCAAGTTAATGCCATCTAGAGTGACTATATCTTTAGACAATGAGTCTCTAAGGTTTTTGGGGCCAAGAACAAGAATTTCGTTTTTTTCTGAGTTTAACATCAGAAAATTGCAGGTCATCCAGGATTTTATGTCCTTAAGACATGTTTGTAATTTAGATAATTGATTAACAGACACCTGTATTTTAATGAAGGCAACCCCATCACTCTGGTTCTAGTTACTAAGTTTGGTTTGATATTTATCTATAAATCTTTTATTTTGATCGCAGTATGTTTCTTTCTTACTGTGTTTTCCTTTAAATGTCAGCTCTGCTTCTGTCTGAGATCGTCTGTGTGGACGTTGGTACAATAAATAAACGAACTCATCCTCAACCAAAGACGACATTGTTACAGACTAATAATAATGCAATATTGATTTAATTATATAATAATGTAACAGTGACCCATTCTGTCTAATCAATACTTTCACTTTTACCTGAAGACCCTCAGTGTAAATTCTGACCCGTTTCTTCTTCTGTGGTCAGTATAAAGGTCGTAGTAACGTCCACCTGGGCCCGGACGTCCTGCTGAGGAGGACGGCTGTGGCTCGCAGTCAGAACTTCATCAACCTGAGAGAGGTGTGCGACCGATTCAAACTGCCACCCGGAGAGTACACCATCGTCCCGTCCACCTTCGAACCGCACCGCAAAGGAAGCTTCATCCTGAGGGTGTTCACCGAAAAGCAGGCCCACAGCAGGTGAGACGCACGGACCCCAACAGACTGTGATAACTCTGGGATGTGCTGGTCACGCTGTCATTGTTTCTGTTTGTTTCAGTCCGATGGAGGAGGACGTTAACGTGGACATCCAGGAGGTTTGTGGCTCCTTCAATCAGTTGATGACAGAGAGTGAAACATTGTAGGGTTACCGACAGACAGACAGACAGACAGACACTCTCTTTTGATTCCTTCCAGCCTGATGTGGGACAGAACGACGTGGATCCTCACTTCAAACGTCTCTTTGTGCAGATCTCTGGAAATGTAACTAAATCTTTTCAGCTTCATTTCCTGTACACCTGAACGGAGACAACACACCTGACGTCATATTTCATTCTGTCTCAACAGGACTCCGAAATTTCTGCCTTAGAGCTCCAACAGATTCTGGACAAAGTGGTCGCTCAGAGTAAGTACACGACCACAGAATCCCTTCATAGCTTTCATTTCACCTGTTCACATGTTCACCTGTTTACCTGTTCATTTGTTCACCTGTTCACCTGTTCAGACTGTTCACCTCTTCAGCTGTTCAGACTGTTCACCTGTTCATCTGTTCACCTGTTCACCTGTTCAGACTTTTCACCTGTTCACCTCTTCAGCTGTTCAGACTGTTCACCTGTTCACCTGTTCAGACTGTTCACCTGTTCATCTGTTTAACTGTCCACCTGTTCACCTGTTCAGACTGGTATCTTTCTACAGTTGTTGTAGATCTTCATCAGGAGTCTAATGAAGAAGATTAATATTTGTATTCAGTCTGCAGCTCAGTGACGAATTTCTGTAAAGTATGACATCACTGTGACATCACTGTGACATCAGAGTAACTGTTATTGTTTGTTCGTAGGATCTGATTTACAAACTGACGGCTTCAGTCTGCAGACGTGTCGCAACATCATCAGCCTGCTGGACGTATCCTTCAGTTTCATTAGAGACAGACAGACAGACAGACAGACAGAGACACACACAGACAGACAGACAGAGAGAGACAGACAGACAGAGAGACAGAGAGGCAGACAGACAGACAGAGAAAGAAAGGCAGACAGGCAGACAGACAGACAGAGAGACAGACAGGCAGACAGGCAGACAGGCAGACAGACAGACAGACAGACAGACAGAGAGAGAGGGACAGACAGACAGAGAGACAGACAGGCAGACAGACAGAGAGAGAGGGACAGACAGACAGACAGTGTGGTCTTTAACCAGACTCAGATGGACGGCAGCAGTAAACTGGGTCTTCAGGAGTTTCATCGTCTGTGGATGAAGATCCAGAAATACCTGGTGAGTCAGAGCTGTCGCCATGGTAACGACTCAGTTACCTGTAGTGAAGTGTAACTTTACATTTACTCAAATACTTTCCCTTCATGTTAAAACCATGTGACTGTGACAGAGTTCCTTCTACCATTCAAAGATCATCTAATCATCAATGAACATCTGCAGCAGTAAAACATTATCAACAACAATATCAATCAATATTATTGATAAGATACCACTATCACTTCTTCACGTTGCTCTCAATGTACAAACACAGAATAAACAGAAATAAACAGGACAACAAGCTCAGTGAAACAGACAGGAAGTGTACAGATATACATACTTTATGTAGATAAACAAACAAAAACAACAACATTTATAGTGCAAAGCAGAAATGTTTACGTACAGTGGAAAAGAAACATTTCACACACGTCACATAAATAAATAACATCATACAAGAAAACAACAACAACAACAACACACACACACACAGCAACTTCTCTTCAGTCAGATTCAGTGTATGTATATACATCATCTTCTCCTATATGTTCATATTGATTATTGGTAATATCCATTGATCAGCACTAACACTGTGAGCTCTGCCAGTAACACTGATTATCAGGGCTGCTGTCATTGGGGGGGTATATCAGGGCTCCTGTCAGTGGGGGGGGTTATATCAGGGCTCCTGTCAGTGGGGGGGTATATCAGGGCTCCTGTCAGTGGGGGGGTATATCAGGGCTCCTGTCAGTGGGGGGGGTATATCAGGGCTCCTGTCAGTGGGGGTATATATCAGGACTCCTGTCAGTGGGGGGTATATATCAGGGCTCCTGTCAGTGGGGGGGGGGTATATCAGGGCTCCTGTCAGTGGGGGGGGGTATATCAGGGCTCCTGTCAGTGGGGGGGGGGTATATCAGGGCTCCTGTCAGTGGGGGTATATATCAGGACTCCTGTCAGTGGGGGGGTATATCAGGGCTCCTGTCAGTGGGGGGGGTATATCAGGGCTCTTGTCAGTGGGGGGTATATATCAGGACTCCTGTCAGTGGGGGGTATATCAGGGCTCCTGTCAGTGGGGGGGTATATCAGGCAGACAGTGAACAGAGTTGATGTGTTAGAAGAAGGAAAAATGGGCAGCATGAGGATCTGATCCACTTTGACAAGAACCACACTGTGATGGACGACTGGGTCAGAACATCTCCAAACCTGCAGCTCTTGTGGGGGGTTCCCGGTCTGCAGAGGTCAGTACCTAACAAAAGTGGTCCAAGGAACAGAACCAGAGACAGGGTCATGGGGGGCCGAGGCTCATTGATGCAGGTGGGGAGTGAAGACGTGTGGTCCGATCCAACAGACGAGCTACTGTAGCTCAAACTGCTGAAACAGTTAATGCTGGTTCTGATAGAAAGAAACTTGACTGACCTCCTGTCGTCCTGCAGGAGATCTTTAAGAGTCACGACTCCGATGGTTCTGGAACGATGAGCAGTCATGAGATGAGAGCAGTGCTGGCTGAAGCAGGTGAGACTCACTGATCATGGTGGTTCTAGTGGTTGTTCTATGGGTTGTTCTAGTGGTGGTTCTAGGTTCTAGTGGTTGTTCTGGTGGTGGTTCTAGTGGTTGTTCTGGTGGTGGTTCTAGTGGTTGTTCTAGTGGTGGTTCTGGTGGTTGTAGTGGTTGTTCTGGTGGTGATTCTAGTGGTGATTCTGGTGGTGGTTCTCGTGGTGATTCTGGTGGTGACAACCAAAGCCTGCCAGTGAACACACACATACACACACACACACATATTGTCCTATTTGTGCACGTACGTTGAAGGGCGTGTCCGTGGCGTGCCGTCAAAGTTGGCCATTTTGAATTCCGTGCTCATTTTCGGTGAATTTTTCGCGTTGTATTTGAACAAACTCCTCCTAGGGAATTTATCGGATCTACTTAAAAACACGGGCCAGAGCCAGGCACGCTCAAAATTTCTTTAGGAATTTTCTAGTTATTATTATCATTATTATTGTTATTGTTGTTATTGTTGTTATTGTTATTATGATTATTATTGTTTTTATCATTATTATTATTGTAGTTATTATTGTTATTATTATTATTGTTGTTGTTATTATTATTATTATTATCATTATTATTATCATTATTGTTGTTATTGTTATTATTGTTATTATCATTATTATTGTTATTGTTATTATTATCGTTATGATTATTATTGTTATTGTCATTATTATTATTATTATCGTTATGATTATTATTGTTATTGTCTTTATTATTATTATTATTGTTATTATTATTAGCATTATTGTTGTTATTGTTATTATTGTTATTATCATTATGATAAATATTGTTATTATCATTATTATTATTGTCATTGTTATTATTGTTATAATTATCATTATGATTATTATTGTTATTATCGTTATTATTATTGTTGTTATTATTGTTATTATTGTTGTTGTTGTTGTTGCAGGTTTCCAGGTGAACAGCGCTGTGATTCGGGAGATCGTCGGCCGTTATGCTGACACGAGTTACGCCATCGACTTCGACTGTTTCGTCGGCTGTCTGATCCGTCTGGAGATGCTCTTCAGTGAGTTAACTTTTTGACAACATCACAGACGGACAAAGAAAAGACACAAACACACAAACTATGTTCAGTATGTGAATATATCCTGACTGGTTCCCAGTGTTCCCAGTGTTCCCAGTGTCACAAGTGTTCCCAGTGTTCCCAGTGTTCTTAGTGTTCCTGAAGTTCCCTAATGTTCCCAGTATTCCTGGTGCTCCCCGTTTTCCCAGTGTTCCCAGTGCAGAGATGACACTTTGTCTTTTTAAATAAAGTTTTTTAATGTGTCCTTCCACAGAGATGTTCAGGACTCTGGACAAGAAGAACCAGGGGAAGATCCAACTGGACCTGCAGCAGGTAGAACCCAGTCCTGTACTGGTCTGACTGGTGCTGAACCAGTAACTGAACACTGTGTCTGTCTTCTTCTTTTTATCTTTTATTGGTCCAGCCTGTGGTCACATGACACAGCATGACATCATCACTGAACTCTTCTTCTCCCCCTCCTGCAGTGGCTCTGCCTCGCCATCAACTGATGCCCGCCCACTGCAGTGCATGCTGGGAGTTCTGTTTGAAAGCTTTCAAATAAAGTCTGGATCTGAATACGTCTTTAACTGTGTGTGGAGCTTTAAAAGATTTAAGATGGAAATTAAAAGTGAATACAAAGTGACTGTGTTTGTATCTGAATGTCTGTGGCTCTTTAAATCTTCCATAGCAACAGTAACAATGTACACAACGTACACAGTGCTGCAGGAGCTAGAGAACTGAGCACCATGGGACCAACAGTGTCTAATGTCTGTTCTCTGTTTATTGTTATTTATTTATATATATATTTAGGGACCGAGCCAGTGACCGCTGGAGGTCCCTATTGTTTTTGCTCGATTTCTTACCTATTATTATTTTTAGGCCACTTCGACTACATTTTTGCCCCCCTGAACATATACGAAAACTCGAAAAAAATTTATATTCTATGCGTCACTTTCAGGTTGGCCACTAGGTGGCGCTATTATCATAAAAAGTGCGTTTAGGCTAATAACTTCTGCATAGTTTGTCACACATTCAAAAACCTTATATCCACGCGTTTGGTGAATGGAGCTGAATCTTCCTATATAGGCCCCGCCCACTTCCGCCTATCGTTTTTTTTCATTAGAGCGCGAAATGTCCTTAAACTACTTTTTTGTGGTCCTCCTACACGCTTTGTCCGATTCGTACGAAATCTTTCAAATAGCACCTGGGGACCGCCCTGGCAAAAAAAGTAATTCAAACATTTTTGAACAACAAGCACTTTATAAAATTAACACTTCCTGTACATTTTTCGTCAAAAAAGGAAGTGGACCATTTCTCCACATTGGTATGTCCGATTGACACCAAACTTGGGTCCATAGTTCCACATGTCTTCCTTAGGCACCGTGCACAATTTCAGGCCATTGCCACAAGGTGGCACTCTTTAAAATGAAGAAGTTTATATCTCTACAACGGTATGTGTGATTAAGATGAAACTTGGTACGATGCTTCCCCATGGCTCCCTGAGGCTCACCTAAAAAGGACAAAAAAAATACGCCACTAGGTGGTGCTCTTTTGGCATGATAAATCACTGTGCGGAGACCGTTATGAATATGAAATTCACAGGACACGTGTAGAGTGGTGCCTGAAGCTCACATACTAAAAATCATGTTTGTCGTGTTTGTAGCGCCCCCTACAGGATAAAAAAACAGCAGCCCCGGCGCCATGTTTCACCGATATGTACGAAAGTCGGTAGGCACGTGTAATGTGCCGGAACGTACAAAAAAGCCTCTTGGACCCATACCCAAAACCCCACAGGAAGTCGGCCATTTTGATTTAAAGTTTCACTTTCAGCGAACTTTTCGCGTTGTATTTGAACGAACTCCTCCTAGGGAATTTATCAGATATGCTTCAAAATTTGTGAGTACAGTCAAAAAATGGATCTGATTAAAAGTTGTGCTATTTGTGCATGTACGTTGAAGGGCGTGTCCGTGGCGTGCCCTCAAAGTTGGCCATAGTGAATTCCGTGCGCATTTTCTGTGATTTTTCGCGTTGTATTTGAACGAACTCCTCCTAGGGAATTTATCGGATCTGCTTCAAAATTGGTCAGTACAGTCAAAAAATGGTTCTGATTAAAAGTTGTGCTATTTGTGCATGTACATTAAAGGGCGTGTCCGTGGCATGCCCTCAAAGTTGGCCAGGTTGAATCGAATGTCAAACTGTGATGCCATTTCCGGCATTTTGCAATGATTTTCAGCGTTTTTTTTGCGTTGTATTTGAACGAACTCCTCCTAGACAATTTATCACATCTGCTTCAAAATGAGTCAGTACAGTAAAAAATTGGTGCTGATTAAAAGTTGTGCTATTTGTGACTGTACGTTAAAGGGCATGTCCGTGGCGTTCCCTCAAAGTTGGCCATGTTGAATCGAATGTCAAACTGTGATGCTATTTCTGGCATTTAAGGGCTTCTGTTTTAACTAACTCCTCCTACAGATTTTATTAGATTGACTTCAAATTCGTTTACTTCAATCTACACACATTGGTTATCAAAAGTTGTGCTATTTCTGACTGTATGTTTAACTGTGTGCCCGTGATGACGTGTCGAATTCCACCGATTGGCCATCCAACAGATAGTACTCATATCTTCAGTGTACAGTCCCACCCTGAACACGTCCTCATAACTTCAGCGTACATGATCCAATCTCAATGAAACTTCATGTGTTTGATAACAGCCCCACCCTGAACACGTCTACATGACAATATTCAGACATAGTGATAGCGCCACATACTGGTAACAGGAAGTATCACGTTTTATACTTTCATGTTCTACTCCTGCAGGATGATCAGATCCAGCTGAACTTACTTGTAAAATGCAAAACACATTGTTGAAGATATGTGAAATTTTGATGGACCGCCACAAAGCACAAATTCGCCATAACTTGAGTGTACATTGTCCAATTGGCTCCACACTTCAAATGCTTGATAACAGTCCCGCCCTGAACACGTGTACATGACAATATTCAGACATAGTGATAGCGCCACCTACTGGCAATAGGAAGTAAGCACTGCGTGGCGATTTTGAGCTAATTAACGGCAGATTTTCATGTTGTGGTCCGCATGTGTTACAACGGCACGTGACGCGGCTGCAGCACGCCCCGAGTTGCGTGGAGTGCGAGGTCCCGCCCAACGCTGCTTGCAGCTTTAATTATTGATTGTTATTATTGAGTTTGAGTCTCACTTATTGATTTTCAATAATGTTCGATATGTTAGAGACGATTAGATTATATCTGGAACTCTGGATCCAGGCTGTTTCTTACTGGATGCTGACTGTGTGGTTGCATCGGCGCTGAAGCCACCCGGGGCCCCTGAAGCCACCAGGGGGCCCCAGACTCCATGCGATGACGAGTAGCAGTAGCAGATTTAATTAACTCTGTGCTCCACATATTTGGATTTCTGATGAAGATCAGCACAGTGGTGGATATTTGATGTTGGCTGAATAAAAGAATGGAAACTATGAATTATTAGAATATCCTTATTGTTAATAATTATTATAATTTATTATATGTTATTGATGCTCACTGATGCACCGGAAAAAATTCAAATGTAAGAACTGTGAAAGGAGTCTGGTACAGAACGTCCACTGAGGCTACTGCACATGTAACATAATGTTTCCTTTATAATAACTAATATTACAGTTTTTCTCCATTGGTTTGGCTCATTTCTTGAAAAAAAAAATTACATTCTCAAAACTCTAAGATCATTTGGCAAAACAGTCTTACAGTTCAGCACAACACCATAGTTCACTTGCAAAAGCTCATTTCTCCCAAAACTGTTCACTCATGCTTTAAAACTAAATTCCTTTCCCATAGAAATAGTCAGTGCCCCCAAAAGGCAAAAGAACCTTGTCATTTGCTTTGGCTCATTTCTCGAAACAGACCGGACGTTCTCAACACTCTTGGTGCTTATGCCAAAATAACCTGGATGGTTCAGCACAACCCCATGGTTCACCTGCAAAAGCTCATATCTCTCCCAAAACAGTTCACTCATGTTTCAAAACTAAATTCCTTTCTCACATAAATAGTCAGTGCCCCCAGAATGCATTGTCCCTTTGGCATTGAGTGAGCACTGCAAGTCAAAATGTTTAAATGTTTTGTCACTATGGCAGAGGACCATTGAAATATCCCTCATGTCCACCTCTCAGTCTTAGCCCAGTCCTTCACTGACAATGGTTACTGTACTAATTTGTTTTGTCTAGCTAACAGAATACAGTTTGACATCACACATTGCACTCATACTGCCAAGGAAATTGTAACTATTTTTATTCACACACATAAAGTAACTTCCATACATCAGAGTTAAAAGAAAATGTATACAGCACAATATACTGTAATATAAACACATAAACAAAAAAATAGGAAAATTATATGTAGCCTACAGTGCTGTAAATAAAGCTGGAGATTCAAAACTAACATTTCTTCACTGGTTGCTGTCCTCACCCTCCCTCTCCTGGCCAGCATCCTCGCCTTCCTGGCCGTCCTCCTCACCCTCCTGGCCATCCACACGCTGCTGTCTGTCTGACCACAGATTCTCGTCCACATCAAACATATTCTCCCTTGCGATGCAACGAGGGAGGAAACGGTGTGCAGGTCGCAACCATCCCCTGCACTGATCTCCTATAATATCATCACAAGCAGCGTCCATTGCATGGAGCAGGGACCTCTGATTGTGAGCCTGATGCTCATACACCTCTCCACCTCCAAGCGGGGAAAAACTCCTCAATAGGATTGAGGAAAGGAGAGTAAGGTGGTAGGAACACCATGACCATCCTTGGATGAGTAGTGAACCAGGCCCTGATGAGCGGGCCACGTGGGAATTCACATTGTCCCACACAAATACATACTTTGGTAGGTGAGGCCCTACGAGACCGCTCTCATTTTCAGGGATCAAATCAGAATGAAGGCGGTCCAAGAAGATGAGCAGCTTCTGTGTATTGTATGGGCCAACACTGGGGATGTGAGTGGCCACACCATTCTCAGAAATGGCAGCACACATAGTTATATTGCCCCCACGCTGGCCTGGGACATCCACTGTGGCCCGGTGGCCAGTAATATTACGGCCACGTCCTCGGCCCTTGGCCAGGTTGAAACTAGCTTCATCCACAAACACGAGGATGTGAGGGGTCTCGTTTCCTTCCAATGCCATTATTCTCTACAATGGAGTAATAAAAAATCATCAAGTAAGTCATACAGAAGAGTCATACACTAGAGTAACAGAAAATTACATAGGAATGTTCTATGTTCTCCTCCACAAGTTCAATATACTACTGGCCACTACTCCAGTGGTTCCTAACCTGGGGTACATGTACCCCTAGGAATAGGCCTACGCAGAGGTACTACAGACGGTATTTCAGAGAAGGGGGGGGAGAATCATCAATGACTAGACATACTGAAATGTTACAGTAAAACCCACAGTATTAGATAGATCTGCTTGGGAGGCACTAATTGCAGCTCATTGACCCCTTTTCTTACTGTATGTTATATTCTTCAAAATAAGAAAAGGAACAGGGGAAACTGTTCCTGTGACGTGCTACGGTAAGCGTACTGACCCATTTCCGGTACTTCCTGCTCTGTGTACACTGTTTGGTGCTGTAGCTCTGTCAGGGAACGCTAAATATAATTTGTTTTACTCTTTACAGCAGTTATTTTCCAGCTTAACATTTAAACGTAGACTAGTTCTACCTAAACACTCGGAGTTACTCCTTCTTTTAGCGACTTTTCGCTATTTTCAAAGTTTTTCATACAGGCTAGCTTCATTAGCATTAGCAGTTAGCTATGGCTTCTCCCTCTCCCTCTCCTCTGTCCTGCTCAGTGTGTCAGATATTCAGTTATTCCTCTGCCTCCTTTAATGATAATGGTATGGCTAAAGATAAACGCAGCCAGTTCTATTTGTTATAGTGTACCGTGCTCCTGGACCGTACTCTGATTTTATATCTGAATTCTCAGAGTTTTTTATCAAGTTTAGTCCTTAAATCAGATAAAGTAATTATTGTAGGTGATTTTAATATTCATGTGGATGTTGACAATGACAGCCTTAGTAATGCATTTATATCATTAATAGACTCAATTGGCTTCTGTCAGAGTGTAAATAAACCAACTCATTGTTTTAATCACACTCTTGACCTTGTTTTATCATATGGCATTGATATTGAACATTTAATAGTCCTTCCACATAATCCTTTCCTATCTGACCATTATTTAATAACTTTTGAATTCATGTTGTTAGATTATAAGCCATTAGGCAAAACTTCCTACAACAGATGTCTATCTGACAGTGCTGTAGCTAAATTTAAGGAGGAGATTCCTTCAGTGTTTAATTCAATGCCATGTCTGAATTTAAGAGTGCTATAACGACTTTAGTCCCTCTGAAATTGATAATCTTGTCGATAGTGCTACAGGCTCACTACGATCAGCATTAGACTCTATCGCTCCTATAAAAAGGAAATTATTAAAACATAGGAGACTAGCACCTTGGTATAACCACCAAACCCGCCAGTTAAAACAAATAGCTAGGAAATCTGAAAGGAAATGGCGCTCTTCCAAATTATCAGAATATCGCTCAATTTGGCAAGATAATCTTAAAACTTATAGAAAGGCCCTCCGTAATGCCAGAGGAGCCTATTACTCAGCACTAATAGAAGAAAATAAGAATAACCCTAGGTTCCTCTTCAGCACTGTAGCCAGGCTGACAGAGAGTCACAGCTCTATTGAGCCACATATCCCCATAAACTTAAGTAGCAATGACTTCATGAGCTTCTTCTATAATAAAATTATAACTATTAGAGAGAAAATTAATCACCATCAACCAGTGTTAATTTCGTTGACGAAGACTATGACGAAAAATCAACGAACCTTTTTCACGGACGAAAACTAAATAAAAAGTCAGATATGATGACGAAGACCGTGACGAAATATAACTGAGACTTACACACAAATAAAAATGAGACGAAAATGTAAGGGAGGGACGAATGGAGAAGAGATCCAATCAGAACTACTCTTTTTGTGGGACAAGTTAGGAAGAAATCCAATCAGAGCGAATCTTTGAGGGTAGGTTGATCTATGCAGAAGCAGCAGAGGCATTTCCAGAAATACATGCAAAGGTTAGCATACACGCTAAGGTTATTTTATCAGATAAACCACCGTAATTTAGTCAACTAAAATATGCTAATATTTGGTCTACTAAAACTAGGACTAAGACTAAAAGACTTAAGACTAGACTAAGACTAAAACTCTTATGATATTTAGTCGACTAAAACTAGACTAAGACTAAAAGATTTCAGATGACTAAAATATGACTAAAACTAAATGGTGTGTTATTCAAAAGACGAAGACTAAGACTAAATCAGAATTTGCTGTCAAAATTAATGCTGCCATCAACAGCTATCAGTGGCTCTCCAAGTTCAGGAACTTTAACTAATGTAAACTTAGATATATATTTAGACTGTTTTTCTGCTATCGATCTTCATCAGTTAACTTCAATAATTTCTACATCGAAGCCATCAACCTGTCTGTTGGACCCGATCCCAACTAGGCTGCTTAAAGAAGTTGTTCCCTTAATTGGCACTACTTTACTGGATATGATTAATCTTTCTTTATTATCAGGATATGTACCACAGTCCTTTAAAGTAGCTGTAATTAAACCCCTTCTTAAAAAGCCCACTCTTGACCCAGGGGTTTTAGCCAACTATAGACCGATTTCTAACCTCCCCTTCCTCTCTAAGATTCTGGAGAAAGTAGTCGCCAAAGAGTTGTGTGACTTTTTACATAACAATAGTTTATTTGAGGATTTTCAGTCAGGATTTAGAGTTCATCACAGCACAGAGACAGCTCTGGTTAAAGTTAATAATGACCTTTTGATTGCTTCAGACAATGGACTTGTCTCTGTACTTGTATTATTAGATCTTAGTGCTGCATTTGACACCATTGACCATGATATTCTTTTACAGAGACTTGAGCATCAAATTGGCATTAAAGGAACCGCACTAAGCTGGTTTAAGTCATATTTATCAGATCGTTCGCAGTTTGTACATGTTAACGATGAATCTTCAATAAATACTACAGTTAGTCATGGAGTTCCACAAGGTTCTGTACTTGGACCAAAACTATTTACTTTATATATGATCCCTTTAGGCAACATTATTGGGAATCACTCCATTAACTTTCACTGTTATGCAGATGATACGCAGTTATATCTATCAATCAAGCCCGATGAAATTAATCAATTATCTAAATTACAAACATGTCTTAAGGACATAAAATCCTGGATGAGCTGCAATTTTCTGATGTTAAACTCAGAAAAAAACAAAATTCTTGTACTTGGCCCCAAAAATCTTAGAGACTCACTGTCTAAAGATATAGTTACTCTAGATGGCGTTACCTTGGCAGTTTTTCCTTGCCCTTGTCGCCAAATAATGTTATAAAGAGTTCGGTCTAGACCTACTCTATTTGAAAAGTTTTCTGAGATAACTTCTGCTATGAATTGGCGCTACATAAATAAAACTGAATTGAATTGAATTGAATTAATGATAAGCTGCAGTTTTCTGTTGCAGTTTTTAGGCAAAATGTTGAAGTCAGATAAAGCAAATACTTGGATTCAGACATCAGGTAAAGGGGGTACTGAAGCCAAAAAAGCTTGGGAACCACTGCTTAGTTGTAAAAAGGTTTTAAAGATAGACAACCAGTAACTGACTTAAGGCTCATATATACTCACCGTTCCCAACCTGTTGAGTGACAACGTGACGTCAAAATTACGTAGATCTCGCTGGTGCGCCAGCATTTTGGACAGGTCGTGCCAGGTTTCAGCTGAGCGTGCCAAAGCGGAAACAGGAAGATGGACGATCTGTACGATCCTTCAATGAAGGAACACAGAGATGCCCAGAGGTGCCAGAATTCATGGCGAGAAATTGCCATGAATGTTGGAAAAGAGGAGGCCATATGCCGGAAAAAATTTGGAAGAACCTACGCGACCGATTTGGAAAAAAAAATGTTTTCCTTCTTCTTCTAGTGCCTAGAAATAGCAAAGTCGGTAGCCTTTCCTCAGAAGTGACACCTCTGTTCAGGAGAAGACTGCAACTAGTGTCGCAACCACCATGCGCAAGTATAAATAGTTACGGCGCTCCTGTGACGTCACATTGTCGCGCTACAGGTCGGGACCGGCAAGTATACCGAAGCTTTTACATGTACATACTGGTACTGCAGCTCTTTCACTCTATCAGAGTTCCTCTCAAATGGTACCCTGTAAAGTTGCTTTATGGTTGTCTGATGCTTGTTCAATATCCAGTCTATTGTGGAGATGCTTATAGAGTTGACATTTTGGAATATGGCATTGTCTTCTATGATTGCAGTGCGGATCTGTCTCGTTCTTGTTGGTCATTGAGAAGTTTTCCTATGCCACCCATGAGAGATTGTCGTCCAATCCTAGACATACAATTCAAAGAACAACACTGTATTACCATTCGTAATGTATGCCTTATGTATTTCTTACAGAATGAGTTACCAATGTAATTGTATTGTTGTTTTATTTACAGTAACTTTACCACAATTCTAATTCATCACTGCACAGTGACTGTAATACTACTGTAAACTGTATCAGATAGTTTATTTTCTCCAATATTTTTCTTGTCATTCTTAGTGTCATAACATCCCATTGAGGTAAGATATTACTGTAGGCCTATAACACACACACACACACACACACACACACACACACACACACTAAATGAATAGGTAAATGAGTAAATAAATACATCTCTTGCTTTATGCACAGTGTCCTGTCCTATTCAACATATAATTCCATCATTGACTGAGTACATATCTGTTTTCCCTGCGAAAGGTTTGGATGATGGAGGAGACTGTAGAGCGGGGCACATTAGGCTGCACTCGACAACCTGCCTCCGCCATTGTGAGGCGATGGTTGATAACATGGTCTATAAGTGTGGCCCGCATTTCATCCGGGACAGCATGGTGTCTTCGTGCTCCTCGGCCTCTTCCCCCTATTCTACCACCACGCACCCTTACTCCTCCTCCTCTTCTTCCTCTTCCTCGAGCAGGCAGTTGCCCTTGTTCATTTACTTGGCCAGGTGCCTCCATGTTCAGAAATTGTACTGGTCCTGGTCAAACTCTATACATACATGTTTGGCAGCATTCACAGTCATGGACACTGGACAGCACCTGTCAGGTTACTAAACATATTGTTTGATTGGTCATCTGAGATGTGTGAAACTCCTCCTTCGTTAGTCAAGTTCTATTTTCACCTGACTGTCAATTAATCAATTTATCAAATGTTCCAAGAGATTCATATATGGTATTCATGATATTAGGTTCTTGACTAATTTTGACAATTGAACAGACTATTGTGCATGTGATAACTTAGACAATGAAATGATGCTGACATGTTTTATTTATTATGTCTTTTTATGTTTTTATATTTTAATTTTAATTTAATAGAATATACTTTTAATGTCTCTGTAGGGACGCTCAGTCTCACAGAAGATTACAAATAAAGATTTAAAACTTTTTGCTGACCTCTAACCTGCAGGCAGACAGACAGAGAGAGAGGGACAGACAGACAGACATACAGACATACAGACATACAGACAGGCAGTAGGGTGGAGAGACTGACGAAGGTTTAAACTATGTGACTCTCTCTTCCTGTTTTATGATGACAGATTTCACACAACCAGACCGGAAGCCGCCTTCAGAATAAAATAACCTGTTTGTCAACAGACACGTTGTTGCTGTTTGTTTTTCCGCCTGATGGGCGGAAGTGCTGATCGATAAGACACGTGCAGACTCTCTTTCAGTCTACTTTACGAGTCTGTTTCAGAGACGAGGCTACAAGCTGACAATGCTCGTTTTATTGTGAAGGGACGTCCCGGAACTGTGTGCTTTGACTCTGTAATCCTGAACACTGAACACTCCCTTCCTGGCATCACTCACCTGCAGCCTCGACACCCACCGCACCCTCACAAACTTCCCAGAACCTTCCAGACCCTCCAGGATCTTTCAGGCTCTCCTGGACCTTCCGGACCCAAAAGACCCAATAGCATGTCGGGCATCGCGGCCACTCTGCAGCGCCGCCGGGAGAAGGACCAGGGCATCGGCACCAACAGCCAGGCGCTGAAGTACCTGAACCAGGACTATGAGACTCTGCGGCAGCGCTGCTTCGAGACGGGCCGCCTGTTCCAGGACGACACGTTCCCGACGCTGCCCGCCTCCCTGGGCTTCAAGGAACTGGGTCCCAACTCCTACAAGACCCGGGGGGTGTCCTGGAAGAGACCCACGGTCAGTAACTCACCTTTACAGGTCTAACATCAGAGACACCAGAGAATCCAAACTTTTCCACTCCTCCAAAACCTCAACAATAATCAATAATCAATAATCGCTTTGAATCAGTTCCAAACTTTGACCTCCAACGTCAGGGAGTCTGTACTGAAAAGAAGAGAGGAGGGAATTCAAATCCGGATTTTGTGAATGGAGTTTGGCCTGAGGCATCTGCAGCTCCCTGCTCAGCCTGTTCAAACAGTCAGTTGTTAGTGCAGATTCAAATCGGATTATTTATTATTGATGATTGATTATTGGTGATTGATTACAGTATCCATCTGTAGGTGAGCTGTGGTCTGTTTGATTCTCTTTAACTTGTGTTGGTGTGTTTGTTGTTTGATCAGAGCCAGTTAGTGAACACACACCTGCACATTCCCAGTGGGAGCTGTGGTTGCTGGGTGGATAGAACACAGAACACTAAACATAGAACACTGAACAACAGAACACTGAACATAGAACACTGAACAAGTGAACACTGAACATAGAACACTGAACATAGAACACTGAACAAAAGAACACTGAACATAGAACACTGAACATAGAACACTGAAAAAAAGAACACTGAACATAGAACACTGAACATAGAACACTGAACATAGAACACTGAACATAGAACACTGAACAACAGAACACTGAACATAGAACACTGAACAAGTGAACACTGAACATAGAACACTGAACAAAAGAACACTGAACATAGAACACTGAACATAGAACACTGAACAACAGAACACTGAACAACAGAACACTGAACAAAATAACACTAAACATAGAACACTGAACATAGAACACTGAACAACAGAACACTGAACAAGAGAACACTGAACAAGAGAACACTGAACAAGAGAACACTGAACACTGAACAAGAGAACACTGAACAAGAGAACACTGAACAAGAGAACACTGAACACTGAACAAGAGAACACTGAACAAGTGAACACTGAACAAGAGAACACTGAACAAGTGAACACTGAACACTGAACAAGAGAACACTGAACAAGTGAACACTGAACAAGTGAACACTGAACAAGAGAACACTGAACATAGAACACTGAACATAGAACACTGAACATAGAACACAGAACAAGAGAACACAGAACAAGAGAACACAGAACAAGAGAACACAGAACAAGAGAACACTGAACAAGAGAACACTGAACAAGAGAACACTGAACATAGAACACAGAACAAGAGAACACTGAACAAGAGAACACTGAACAAGAGAACACTGAACAAGAGAACACTGAACAACAGAACAACAGAACACTGAACAACAGAACACTGAACAAAAGAACACAGAACATAGAACACTGAGCAAGAGAACACAGAACACAGAACAGCAAAACAACAGAACACAGAACAACAGAACACAAAACACAAAACACAAAACAACAGAACAACAGAACACTGAACAACAGAACACTGAACATAGAACACTGAACAAGTGAACACTGAACATAGAACACTGAACAAGTGAACACTGAACATAGAACACTGAACATAGAACACTGAACAAAAGAACACTAAACATAGAACACTGAACATAGAACACTGAACATAGAACACTGAACAACAGAACACTGAACAACAGAACACTGAACAAAATAACACTGAACATAGAACACTGAACATAGAACACTGAACAACAGAACACTGAACAACAGAACACTGAACAAGAGAACACTGAACAAGAGAACACTGAACATAGAACACTGAACAAGAGAACACTGAACACTGAACAAGAGAACACTGAACAAGAGAACACTGAACAAGAGAACACTGAACAAGAGAACACTGAACAAGAGAACACTGAACACTGAACAAGTGAACACTGAACACTGAACAAGTGAACACTGAACAAGAGAACACTGAACAAGTGAACACTGAACAAGTGAACACTGAACAAGAGAACACTGAACATAGAACACTGAACATAGAACACTGAACATAGAACACTGAACAATAGAACACTGAACAAGAGAACACTGAACATAGAACACTGAACATAGAACACTGAACATAGAACACTGAACAACAGAACACTGAACAACAGAACAACAGAACACTGAACAAAAGAACACAGAACATAGAACACTGAGCAAGAGAACACAGAACACAGAACAGCAAAACAACAGAACACAGAACAACAGAACACAAAACACAAAACACAAAACAACAGAACAACAGAACACTGAACAACAGAACAACAGGACACCGAACAATAGAACAACAGAACACTGCCTCTGGAGAGCAGGAGAGCTGACAAACATAAATAATGAAGAATAATTGATCAGTGATCAGTGTGTCTGTCAGATTGGTTTGTGCTTCAGATGATTGACGAGACCGAACAGAATAAAAATGAACAAAAGTAGATTTAAAAATAGAATACAGAGAAAAAAACAACAATAAAATACAAACAGATTTTACAGGTAGAACGTTATTTTTTAATAAAAGTTATTCTAAAAAATAAAATGAATTTAGAAAGCAGAAATATTATTATTATTATTATTATAGTTGTGTAGTAGTTTTAAGAACATATATATTATAAGTAATGGTTCAAATAAATAACTATGAAATGTACAAAAGAAAATATGATAACTGAGTAACAGATAATAATAGAGATTAAATAAAAACCTTCTAGCTGCTCTCAGCCCCATGGTGGCAACAAACAGCAGCGTCCATTGGAGCCTAAATACATCAGTGTCCATTAGAGCTTGAACACGTCGCAGCGTCCATTAGAGCCTGAACACGTCGCAGCGTCCATTAGAGCCTGAACACATCACAGCGTCCATTAGAGCCTGAACACATCACAGCGTCCATTAGAGCCTGAACACGTCGCAGCGTCCATTAGAGCCTGAACACATCACAGTGTCCATTAGAGCTTGAACACGTCACAGCGTCCGTTAGAGCCTACCAGCAGGAAACCAGACGCCGGTTTCTGTGGAGGTACAGGAGCCGGAGGAGTGGGCGGTCCTTCAGTGTGGACCAGGTCTCACTCACTGACAGTGGTCTCGGTTTCAGTCTTCATGCTGCTGATGTTGTGTTTCCTGTGCAGGAGCTGACCTCTGACCCCGAGTTCATCATATCTGGAGCGTCCAGGACCGACATCTGTCAGGGAGCTCTGGGTGAGAACAAACAGCAACGCAGCGGCAGTCAGATAAAGATTCTAAAGCCCGACTGCTGCTGTGCCGCTACGCAGACAATGTAGACCACTGCTAACTTAAGATGTGACTATATACATGTAGCTGGTTAGCTAGCATTTTGCTAACATTAGCTAATTTAAGATGATTCTTTTATCTTTTAACAATCTTCAAAATGTGGTTGTCTTTCCAACATAGATTAGCTTAGCATATAGCATATCTAAGTATAGGGAAGGAGGAAGTTGACTGAGGCTTGCTCAGCTGTGATTGGAACACAGAGCATAAAAGGGGGGGGGGGGCTTATGAAGGATCAGTTAAATATACATAAAATGCAGCTTTGTGGATAATCTGCTGTTTGTGCAGATTATTATTTACTAATTCATTCACTAATTGTTTTCCCCATAAATCAGAAAAACATGTAAATAAAGTTTCGGTTTATATCCATTCTTCCTCATAAAACATCTGATTTTAAAAAGTATTTTTGATCCTCTTGTTGACACTGTTGTATTATAGTAGTAGATTATTATCACTGATAATGACACTAACCGCTTTATGTCTTGTTTGTAAAATCTTTATTTATAAAGTCAGATAACGGACAAGGAGTGTTCACTCTGACTGGGTGAAGCATATTATGTGACCCTATAATTGATGAGAGGAGGGTAAAACTAACGGCTGAACAAAGCCAGAGTCATTATGTGTGCAGCCAGTCGGACCGGAGGAACCGGTTCCACTAACTGAACTGATCTCTAGATCAAATAACTTTATTGGAGGTAAGCAGGCGCAGACCGGCTGGAAGGATCACACTTCACTGCCTCTTCAATATGTCGTCTCAATTTATTTTGGAACCTGAAAAACCAGTTGGCAGCTGGTGTTTGAACAGTCCGACCCTGGTCTAGTCTGGTCTAATCTGGTCTAGTTTCTCTAATGCAAAACCAACGCAAACTTATTTGGAAGTCAAATCCAGGTCCAGCTGCGAGAGAGAGAGAGAGAGAGAGACAGAGACAGAGAGAGACAGACAGACAGACAGCAACAGTATTGGTAATGGCAATCTAGCAGGACCATGGCAGGAGGCTCCACCAGGATCCATGATAACTTGCGAGACGAGAAAGCACAAGAACTCCGGAGAAGAAGTGAAGTTAGTAACATGCATTAATGGAACATGAATGAGTGCAGAAAGAGAGAGGAAGAGAGGAGCTCAGTGCACCATGGGAAATCCCCCGATAGTCTAGGCCTATAGCAGCATAACTAAGGGATGGTTCAGGACTCACCTGATCCAGCCCTAACTATAAGCTTTATCAAAGAGGAATGTCTTAAGCCTACTCTTGAATGTGGAGAGGGTGTCTGACTCCAGAACCACAACTGGAAGCTGGTTCCACAGGAGAGGAGCTTGGTAACTGAAGGCTCTGGCTCCTGTTCTACTTTTAGAGACTATAGGAACCACAAGTAGCCAAGCATTCAGAGAACGTAGTGTTCTAGAGGGGTAATAGGGTACTATGAGCTCTTTAAGATATGAAGGGGCCTGACCATGAAGAGCTTTATAGGTGAGGAGGAGGATTTTAAATTCTATTCTACATTTTACAGGGAGCCAATGCAGAGAAGCTAGTACAGGAGAGATGTGATCTCTTTTTCTAGTTCCTGTCAGTACTCGTGCTGCAGCGTTCTGAATTAATTGGAGCGTTTTAATGGACTTATTGGGGCAACCTGATAATAAAGAGTTGCAGTAATCCAGCCTAGAAGTAACAAATGCATGGATTAGTTTTTCTGCATCTGTCTGTGATAGGATGTCTCTAATTTTTGTAATATTACGTAAATGAAAGAAGGCAGTCCCAGAGGTCTGCTTCATGTGGGAATTAAATGATAAATCCTGATCAAAGATAACTCCAAGATTCCTGACAGTGGTGCTAGAGGCCAAGGTAATGCCATCTAGAGTAACTATATCTTTAGACAGTGAGTCTCTAAGATTTTTGTGGCCAAGTACAAGAATTTCGTTTTTTTCTGAGTTTAACATCAGAAAATTGCAGCTCATCCAGGATTTTATGTCCTTAAGACATGTTTGTAATTTAGATAATTGATTAATTTCTTTGGGCTTGATTGATAGATATAACTGCGTATCATCTGCATAACAGTGAAAGTTAATGGAATGATTCCTAATAATGTTGGCTAAAGGGAGCATATATAAAGTAAATAGTATTGGTCCAAGTACAGAACCTTGTGGAACTCCATGACTAACTGTAGTATTTATTGAAGATTCATCGTTAACATGTACAAACTGTGAGCGATCTGATAAATATGACTTAAACCAGCTTAGTGCGGTTCCTTTAATGCCAATTTGATGCTCAAGTCTCTGTAAAAGAATATTATGGTCAATGGTGTCAAATGCAGCACTAAGATCTAATAATACAAGTACAGAGACAAGTCCATTGTCAGAAGCAATCAGAAGGTCATTATTAACTTTAACCAGAGCTGTCTCTGTGCTGTGATGAACTCTAAATCCTGACTGAAAATCCTCAAATAAACTATTGTTATGTAGAAAGTCACACAACTCTTTGGCGACTACTTTCTCCAGAATCTTAGAGAGGAAGGGGAGGTTAGAGATTGGTCTATAGTTGGCTAAAACCCCTGGGTCAAGAGTGGACTTTTTAAGAAGGGGTTTAATTACAGCTACTTTAAAGGACTGTGGTACATATCCTGATAATAAAGAAAGATTAATCATATCCAGTAAAGAAGTGCCAATTAAGGGAACAACTTCTTTAAGCAGCCTAGTTGGGATCGGGTCTAATAGACAGGTTGATGGCTTCGATGAAGAAATGATTGAAGTTAACTGATGAAGATCGATAGCAGAAAAACAGCCTAAATATATATCTAAGTTTACATTAGTAAAAGTCCCTGAACTTGGAGAGCCACTGATAACTGTTGATGGCAGTTGGTGATTAATTTTCTCTCTAATAGTAATAATTTTATTATAGAAGAAGCTCATGAAGTCATTGCTACTTAAGTTTATGGGGATATGTGGCTCAATAGAGCTGTGACTCTCTGTCAGCCTGGCTACAGTGCTGAAGAGGAACCTAGGGTTATTCTTATTTTCTTCTATTAGTGCTGAGTAATAGGCTCCTCTGGCATTACGGAGGGCCTTTCTATAAGTTTTAAGATTATCTTGCCAAATTGAGTGATATTCTGATAATTTGGAAGAGTGCCATTTCCTTTCAGATTTCCTAGCTATTTGTTTTAACTGGCGGGTTTGGTGGTTATACCAAGGTGCTAGTCTCCTATGTTTTAATAATTTCCTTTTTATAGGAGCGATAGAGTCTAATGTTGATCGTAGTGAGCCTGCAGCAGTGAGCCTGATGAAGCCCTGTCACTGAGTTGATGACGAGTGATGATGTCCCGTGTCCAGCCCTCTTAAAGATCTCATTTCCAATCTTTATGCTAAGCTAAGCTAGCAGTTTCCCTCTGTTTTCACTCCTTATGCTAAGCAAATTTAGCCGTTTCCTGTCTTTATGCTAAGGTAAGCTAGCTGTTTCCCCCTGTTTCCAGTCATTATGCCTTGTAAAGCTAGCAGCTGACCGGAATTTCCCTCGGGATAAATAAAGTATCTATCTATCAGTTTGCTCCTTTTCCCAGTCGTTATGCTAAGCTACACTAGTTTTTCCTCCTGTTTCCAGATATAATGCTAAGCTAAGCTAGCAGTTCCTTGTGATTGCAGTCATTATGCTAAGCTAAGCTTGCAGTTTCTCCTGCTTAGTCATTATGCTAAGCTAAGCTACCAGTTTCTTTTTCTTAGTCGTTATGCTAAGCTAAGCTAGCAGTTTCTCCTGCTTACAGTCGTTATGCTAAGCTAAGCTAGCAGTTTCTCCTGCTTACAGTCGTTATGCTAAGCTAAGCTAGCAGTTTCTCCTGCTTACAGTCGTTATGCTAAGCTAGCAGTTTCTCCTGCTTGCAGTCGTTATGCTAAGCTAGCAGTTTCTCCTGCTTACAGTCGTTATGCTAAGCTAAGCTAGCAGTTTCTCCTGCTTACAGTTGTTATGCTAAGCTAAGCTAGCAGTTTCTCCTGCTTACAGTTGTTATGCTAAGCTAAGCTAGCAGTTTCTCCTGCTTACAGTCGTTATGCTAAGCTAGCAGTTTCTCCTGCTTACAGTCGTTATGCTAAGCTAAGCTAGCAGTTTCTCCTGCTTACAGTCGTTATGCTAAGCTAGCAGTTTCTCCTGCTTGCAGTCGTTATGCTAAGCTAGCAGTTTCTCCTGCTTACAGTCGTTATGCTAAGCTAGCAGTTTCTCCTGCTTACAGTCGTTATGCTAAGCTAGCAGTTTCTCCTGCTTACAGTCGTTATGCTAAGTAGGTTTCTCCTGCTTACAGTCGTTATGCTAAGCTAGCAGTTTCTCCTGCTTACAGTCGTTAGTCGCTAAGCTAAGCTAGCAGTTTCTCCTGCTTACAGTCGTTATGCTAAGCTAGCAGTTTCTCCTGCTTACAGTCGTTATGCTAAGCTAGCAGTTTCTCCTGCTTACAGTTGTTATGCTAAGCGTGATCACTCGATGAGTCAGTTATTGTCTCATGCAGTTAAAGTGTGGCTCAGTGTCGTGTGTTGCCTTGGCAACAGAAACAATAAACATTGACAGGAAGGTGGGCGGCGGCTGACTCACTGTGATGTCATCGCCCTCAAGAGGGAACCACAGGACGTTAGTGGTTCAGCTGGAAATAGTTTCTATAGTAACTAAAGGAAACAGCCAGCCAATCAGAGCGCAGGCAGTGACTGATGAGCTCATTATTAATCGTCCACTCTCAGGTAGATTTCTTCCTGTCAGGTGGTCCAGGAGCAGAAACTGATGGCAGAGCCCGTGTACCGAGAGCCTGGCCTCTCCCCCTAAGGTCCCATTGTACCGAATACTGGTTGCAGTTCCAGCAGAGGTCCACTGGGGGCGCTCTCCCATCAGTGCAGAATGAATGGGAGCAGATGGAGCTGATTGTGGTTGAGAGATCTCAGATGTGATTGTAGTTTTTAAAGTTCAACATGGGTTATAGGTCGAAAGCTGAATGAACGAGTTCTGATGTCCTTTAGATTTCTTACAGGACGAGTTGTTGTTGCCCATAACGCGCTAGCATTCTGCTAATGAACGCTGATTGGTCAGTGAAGGACTGATTACGACCAGAGATCCCGCTCGAGTACACCCAGCAATGTGTCATTTCTTTGCATCCCCTTTCGAATGCAACATTCAAATTACTAGACAAACACTGATATCCTGAGAGAAGAGGATTGTGAGGGTATAGCTCCATAGAGCTCCATTCATTCTGCACTCATCCTGTGAGCGCCCTCACATGGAGCCAGAGGGGAACTGCAACAGTTCAGAACCCGGAAATTTACAGAGAGTGGAAGTTCTCCCCTTATTAGACGTTCTCTGGTGATGGTGTGTTTAAGGACACTCTGAAAACTAAGCCCCGCCCTCTTCCTGTCTGTCATCCAGGTGACTGCTGGCTGCTCGCCGCCATCGCCTCTCTGACGCTGAACGAGGAAGTTCTGGCTCGAGTCGTCCCCCACGGACAAAGCTTCAGGGAGGGAGAGTACGCGGGCATCTTCCACTTCCAGGTACAAATACACAGTACGAGTACAAATACACAGTACAAATACACAGTACGAGTACAAATACACAGCACGAGTACAAATATACAGTACAAATACACAGTACAAATACACAGCACGAGTACAAATACTCAGTACAAATACACAGTACGAGTACAAATACACAGCACGAGTACAAATATACAGTACAAATACACAGTACGAGTACAAATACACAGCACGAGTACAAATACTCAGTACAAATACACAGTACGAGTACAAATACACAGCACGAGTACAAATATACAGTACAAATACACAGTACGAGTACAAATACACAGTACGAGTACAAATACACAGCACGAGTACAAATACACAGTACGAGTACAAATACACAGCACGAGTACAAATACACAGTACAAATACACAGCACGAGTACAAATACACAGTACAAATACACAGCACGAGTACAAATACACAGTACAAATACACAGTACGAGTACAAATACACAGTACAAATACACAGTACAAATACACAGCACGAGTACAAATACACAGTACAAATACACAGCACGAGTACAAATACACAGTACAAATACACAGTACGAGTACAAATACACAGTACAAATACACAGTACAAATACACAGCACGAGTACAAATACACAGTACAAATACACGAGTACAAATACACAGTACAAATACACAGTACAAATACACAGCACAAGTACAAATATACAGTACAAATACACAGTACAAATACACAGTACGAGTACAAATACACAGTACAAATATACAGTACGAGTACAAATACACAGTACAAATACACAGTACAAATACACAGCACGAGTACAAATATACAGTACAAATGTACAGTACAAATACACAGTACAAATGTACAGTACGAGTACAAATATACAGTACAATATACAGTACAAATACACAGTACAAATACACAGTACGAGTACAAATATACAGTACAAATACACAGTACAAATACACAGTACGAGTACAAATACACAGTACAAATATACAGTACAAATACACAGCACGAGTACAAATACACAGCACGAGTACAAATACACAGCACGAGTACAAATACACAGTACAAATACACAGTACAAATACACAGCACGAGTACAAATACACAGTACAAATACACAGTACGAGTACAAATACACAGTACAAATACACAGTACAAATACACAGCACGAGTACAAATATACAGTACAAATACACAGTACAAATACACAGTACGAGTACAAATACACAGTACAAATACACAGTACAAATACACAGTACGTTCCCTCTGCTTCCAATCTTGATGCTAAGCTAGCAGTTTCCAGTCTTGATGCTAAGCTAGCAGTGTGTGTGTGTAGTTCTGGCAGTTCGGGGAGTGGGTGGACGTGGTGATTGACGACCGTCTGCCTGTCAAAGACGATGAGCTGCTGTTCGTCCACTCGGCGGAGGGGAAGGAGTTCTGGAGCGCCCTGCTGGAGAAAGCCTACGCAAAGTAAGAACCAATAACCGGAAAAAACACATCGGAAAACACATTGGAAAACAGGCTTGTGAGTTGTTGGGTGGACAGAGCAGCAGAGACTGTATTTATATATTGTCTGACTGACACAGCCACCAGACTCCATTGACAAAAGCAGTGATTTCAGTTTCTGTCTGTGTCATTGTGTGAATCGAGGCAGTGGTAGAACCAGTAACAGTTCTGAGAGCTTAAATCACTGCTTTTGTCAATGGAGTCTGGTGGCTTTGAACAGAGACATATAATGACTGCAGTTCACCTGTGCACACCTGTCCACACCTGTCCACATAGTTCACTCCTCTCCACACCTGTCCACACCTGTCCACATAGTCCACTCCTCTCCACACCTATCCACACCTGTCCACTCCTGTCCACATAGTCCACACCTGTCAATGTAGTGAATTAGTGTTTTCATTGTGACGTCCTCCCAGTGTGACCAGTAACACAGATCAGCTGTAACATGGTGATAATAAACGGTGTGTTCAGGTTCCTACACGTCCTCCGCCTCTCACGCATTCCTAACGTTTATTTAACCAGCAGGCACACACGGCCCCACCCTCACACGCACACACTGTACACACACTGGACTACACACTGTACACAATACACACTGTAGACAATAATTCAATTCAATTCAGTTTTATTTGTATAGCACCAATTCATAACAGAAGTTATCTCAGGACACTTTTCAAATGGAGCAGAACTCTTTATAACATTATTTACAGAGACCCAACAGTACCACCATGAGCAAGACCTTGGAGACAAGGGCAAGGAAGAACTGCTTGTTAAAAGGCAGAAACCTTGGACAGATCCTTCTGCTCTAGGTGGGTGAGAGAGAGAGAGAGATGCACAGCAACAACTACACTAATAGTAGTTACCGATGATGATGAACATGTAACTGTAGTAATAATAATATTAATTAAAGCTGCAAGCTGCGTTGGGTGGGACCTCGCACTCCACGCAACTCGGGGCGTGCTGTGGCCGCGCCACGTGCCGTCTTAACACGGACCCTGACATGAAAATCTTACGTAAATCAGCTCAAAATCACCACGCAGCGGTTGCTTCCTGTTGCCAGTAGGTGGGGCTATCACTATGTCTGAATATTGTCATGTATACGTATTCAGGGCGGGACTCTTATCAAACGTGAAGTTTCGTTGAGATCAGATAATGTACACTGATGTTGTGAGGATGTGTTCAGGCTAGGACTGTTACAGAATATGTGAAGTTGAGTGGAGATGGGACATTGTACACTTAAGTTGAGTAGTATCTGTTTATGGTGAATGATAGAAATTCAACACCACGGGCACGCCGTTTGACGGAATGTCGTAAATAGCACAACCTTTAATCAGCAACATTTTTTGACTGTACTGACAAATTTTGAAGTAGATCCGATAAATTCCCTAGGAGGAGGAGTTCAAATACAACGCGGAAAGTTTGCCAAAGGGGAAAATCAAGATCAAAATGGCCGACTTCCTGTGGGGTTTGGGGTATGGGTCCTGGAGGCTTTTTTGTACGTCTAGGCACGTTACACGTGCCTACCAAGATTCATACATATCGGTGAAACGTGGCACCGGGACTGCTTTTTTCTTATCCTGTAGGGGGCGCTACAAACACGATTTTTGGTATGTGAGCTTCAGGCACCAGTCTACATGTGCCCTGTGAATGTCATACTCGTAACTATTACGGTCTCTGCACAGTGATTTACCATGCCACCAGAGTGCCACCTAGTGGCGGATTGTTGACACATTTTTTAGCGAGCCTCAGGGAGCCATGGGGAAGCATCGTACCAAGTTTCATTTTAATCACACATGCTGTTGCAGAGATATAAACTTCTTCATTTTAAAGAGCGCCACCTAGTGGTGATGGCCAGAAACTGTGCAAGATGCCTAAGGAAGACATGAGTAACTATGGACCCAAGCTTGATGTCAATCGGACATACCAATGTGGACCAATGTGGACACAGGAAACGTGTGTAAGACAGCAGCTCTGCTTCCTGGTCCCCACTATGGGTTGTCAGGTTTTAGAAATAAACTTTGCCATATTTTTAGATAAGAGATCCGCTCCATCCAAACTGGGATGGATGCCGTCTCTCCTAATCAGACCAGGTTTTTCCCAAAAAGGCTGCCAGTTATCAATGAAGCCCACATCGTTTGCTGGACACCACCTCGACAGCCAGCGGTGGAATGACGACATGCGGCTATACATGTCATCACTGGTCACATTGGGCAGGGGTCCAACATTGTATTTGCATATCTACACACCAACTCCACATTTATTTTAGTGACCTCTGGCGTAATCGGGTGTCATTACCGCCAAAGTGAATAACTAATACACACTGTATACACACTGTACACACACTATACACACACTGAGTCCTCAGGTGTGACTGACGTGTGTCACTGTGATGTCACTGTGATGTCGTCGTTGTGATGCAGGATGAACGGCTGTTACGAGGCTTTGTCTGGAGGATCGACCACCGAGGGTTTTGAGGATTTTACCGGAGGGATCGCTGAGGTCCACGAGCTGAGTCGACCCAGTCCTCATCTGTTCCACATCATCCAGAAGGCTCAGAGCCGTGGGTCTCTGATGGGCTGCTCCATAGACGTAAGCTCACCACATGGTTCTAACCGTACTGGACGGGTACATTAACAGATTATACCGACGCTGTTTATCTGGAATTATTTGTTTAACTTCTGATTTTGTTTCAGATCACAAGCTCAGCTGACTCGGAGGCGATCACTTCCCAGAAGCTGGTGAAAGGCCATGCCTACTCTGTGACAGGTGCTGCTGAGGTGAGGACCCCCCCCCGTGGAGCCACGCCCCCTGCTTTAGCCAGCTGTTAGCCTGTCTGAAACATGGTTTCACCTTCCCGCAGCTTTAAACTACATGTCCCATGAATCTTAGCAGCAGGAGTTACCAACTGGAGCTTTTGAATCCTAACAGATTTTTTTATTGCATAGAAAGAAGGTAACCACCCCTAACTGTTGTGCTCTGTGATTGGCTGCAGGTGGAGTACCGTGGAGAAATGGTGAAGCTGATCCGGATCAGGAACCCCTGGGGTCAGGTGGAGTGGACCGGAGCATGGAGTGATGAGTAGGTAACCCCGACAGGTCGTAGATGTACACTAACCTCCGGAACAAACACACCACAGTGTACCCGAGATTGTTATTAGGGACCGAGCCAGCGACCGCTGGAGGTCCCTATTGTTTTTGCTCGATTTCTTACCTATTCTTCTTCTTCTTATTTTTATTTTTAGCCCCCTTCGACTGCATTTTTGCCCCCCTGAACATATACGAAAAGTCAGTTTTATTTAAGTTTGTCAGGCCTGGTGAAAATGGGGATATTCTATGCGTCGCTTTTGGGTTGGCCACTAGGTGGCTCTACTATCATAAAAAGTGTGTGTCTTCCTTAGGCATCTTGCACAATTTCAGACCATTGCCTCTAGGTGGCGCTCTTTAAAATGAAGAAGTTTATATCTCCATAACGGCAAGTGTGATTGAAATGAGACTTGGTACGATGCTTCCCCATGGCTCCGAGGCTCGCTAAAAAATGTGTCAACAATCCGCCACTAGGTGGCACTCTTTTGGCATGATAAATCACTGTGCGGAGACCGTAATAGTTATGAATATAAAATTCACAGGACACGTTTAGAGTGGTGCCTGAAGCTCACATACCAAAAATCGTGTTTGTCGTGTTTGTAGCGCCCCCTACAGGATAAAAAAAACAGCAGCCCCGGCGCCACGTTTCACCGGTATGTATGAATCTTGGTAGGCACGTGTAACATGCCGGGACGTACAAAACAGCCTCTTGGACCCATACCCGAAACCCCACAGGAAGTCGGCCATTTTGACTTTCATTTTCACTTTCGGTACTTTTCGCGTTGTATTTGAACAAACTCCTCTTAGGGAATTTATCGGATCTGCTTCAAAATTTGTGAGTACAGTCAAAAAATGGTTCTGATTAAAAGTTGTGCTATTTGTGCATGTACATTAAAGGGCGTGTCCGTGGCGTGCCCTCAAAGTTGGCCAGGTTGAATCAAATGTCAAACTGTGATGCCATTTCCGGCATTTTGCAGATTTTCAGTATTTTTTTGCGTTGTATTTGAACGAACTCTTCCTAGAGAATGTATCAGAATTGCTTCAAAATTGGTCTGTACAGTCAAAAAATGGTGCTGATTAAAAGTTGTGCTATTTGTGACTGTACGTTAAAGGGCATGTCCGTGGCTTTCCCTGAAAGTTGGCCAGGTTGAATCGAATGTCAAACTGTGATGCTATTTCCGGCATTTAAGGGCTTCTGTTTTAACTAACTCCTCCTACAGATTTTATCAGATTGACTTCAAATTCGATCACTTCAATCTACACACATTGGTTATCAAAAGTTGTGCTATTTGTGACTGTATGTTTAACCGTGTGCCCGTGACGACGTGTCGAATTCCACCGATTGGCCATCCAACAGATAGTACTCATGTCTTCAGTGTACAGTCCCACCCTGAACACGTCCTCATAACTTCAGCGTACATGATCCAATCTCAATGAAACTTCATGTGTTTGATAACAGTCCCACCCTGAACACGTCTACATGACAATATTCAGACATAGTGATAGCGCCACATACTGGCAACAGGAAGTATCACGTTTTATACTTTCATGTTCTACTCCTCGCAGGATGATCAGATCCAGCTGAAATTGACTTATAAAATGCAAAACACATTGTTGATAATATGTGTTGACTGTGGTGAGGGGGCGTGTCTGTGGGGTGGCGGGAAATTTTGATGGACCGCCACAAAACAATTCGAGTGTACATTGTCCAATCGGCTCTACACTTCAAATGCTTGATAACAGTCCCACCCTGAACACGTGTACATGACAATATTCAGACATAGTGATAGCGCCACCTACTGGCAACAGGAAGTAAGCGCTGCGTGGCGATTTTGAGCTGAGTTACGTGAAATGAGCGTGCCAGTGACGACTTGTCGAATTCAGCGGATTCGCCATAAAACAGCACTCATAACTTCAGTGTGCAATGTCCAATCTCCAGTAAACTTCTTATATTCTGAAACAGTCTCGCCCTGAACACGTCCTCATAACTTCAGCGTACGTGGTCCAATCTCAATGAAACTTCACGTGTGTTACAACAGTCCCGCCCTGAACTTGTCTACATGACAATATTAAGACATAGTGATAGCGCCACCTACTGGCAACAGGAAGTAAGCGCTGCGTGGCAATTTTGAGCTGATTTACGCGAAATTTCATGTTTTGGTCTGCATGTGTAACGATGGCACGCGACGGGCTGCAGCACGCCCCAATTTTATTATTATTATTATTATTGTTATTGTTATTATTAGTACTTTATTGGAACTGAGGAAGAACTCATGGAAGGACTACATGAGAGCTTCCTGCTGCTGCCGCTGATGTTGTAACTCCCTGACCGACAGACTGAGTTAACTGAACAGGTATCACTACCTGCCGCTCACTACTGTCACCGCCTGCGGGGTGGAGTCTGTGAGCACGATGATCCTCCAGAGCTCTGACTGACAGACTCTGTACACACTGTGTCACAGCATTGTTAACTTTAATTGATCATAGCTCATCATTGATTGATTGATCGCTCATTGATAAATCACACTTCATTAAAGATCCATCGGGATTTTAAAAGGTGTTTTCTGCTCCAACAGTTCCACACAATGGCGTTACATCAGCGACGAGGACCGTGAGCGTCTGAGTCACCGCTCAGAGGACGGAGAGTTCTGGTAAGACCTCCTTTTTATCCCCAAACCCCCCTGTCCTCTGTGGGCACTGACACCCTCCGCTCTGTCTCCTAGGATGTCTTTCTCTGACTTCCTGCAACATTACTCCCGGCTAGAGATCTGTAACCTGACACCCGACGCCCTGAGTGATGACTCTGTCTCTAAGTGGGCTCTGTCCAAGTTCGATGGCAGCTGGCGGAGAGGGTCCACCGCCGGAGGCTGCAGGAACTTCCCCAGTGAGTGATCCTGTCAGACGAAGAGCAGGTCCGACTGCCTGCGACTCTTCCTCGACTCTGATCTTCTGCTTTTAATCCACAGACTCGTTCTGGACCAACCCTCAGTTTGTTATCAAGCTGGAGGAGGAGGACGACGACCCAGAGGATGGAGAGGCCAGCTGCAGCCTCGTGGTTGGTCTGATCCAGAAGAACCGCAGACGCATGAGGAAGATCGGCGAGGACATGCACACGGTGGGATTCGCCATCTACGAGGTGAGAATGATTCTCTCTGGATGTTTGTTATGTAACGCAGATCTCTCTCCCGGTCCTACTGTCTGGATGTAGCGTAGCTGCTTGAACACTTTCCATGCAATGCATTCTGGTATCGCTGCGGCTTGTTCAGGCTACTTCATGAAAATCAGGGGCGAGCACAAGCAGATCTCAGGCTCCCTTTCCACCAAATTAGTTCTGGTTCTTGAACTGGTTCTGTTCAGGATTCTTGGAACCATGATGCTATCTACAGAACCAGCCCAAGTTTCCTCCAGTTTAGAGCAGAACCATTCAACCCATCAAGGATGCGTCATCAAAAGAGGAAAACAGATTTTTTTTGCTCCAGCTGGGAACCAACTGGTTCCAAACCAATTTGTTTTTGGTTGAAATGCTCTAGAACAGTAGGTGTTAGAACCGTGGTGCCAAGCGGCGCCATAAAGCCGTGCTGGTTGAATTTCAGTGTTACTCTGCTGTGGACGGAAGCAGAAAAGTTCATTTAAGCGGTCATTGTTCGTACCCCTCAGGACGGTCCGACCAGTTCTGAGTCTTCAGTCCGGAGTCGGGACAAACGCGTCTCACAGCACGATGTGTTCTTTTGCTGTAAGTACTGAAGTGCACTTGAACGGCAACTGTTTAGGAAGTAAGTAAAAGAAGTTCAGTGATTTACAGAGTTTCCTGTTGGAAATATAGCCATAGCTTCTTGTTGTTAGCTACTTTAGCCACTATCTAGCGGCTGCTGTTAGCTGGTTAGCAGTGCAGCTAACTCAGCCTTCCTGTCAGGTGACTCTGGTGGGCACTCAGAGCAGCGGGGCAGTATCAGTCTTTATTCAGGAAGTTTGAACCACCGTAAGCGGTGCTGCCTTTAGCTCCCAGTTCATTAGCAGCAGTTAGCGGTTAGCTGATAGACATCAGAGGAGAAAACAAAGTGTGGAACTTCCAGCAGAAACTTTGTGCAGATGCATAGCCCCGATCAACCAAACTCCATTCAGAAAACAAACATTTTAATTCAATTCAATTTTTTTCTTTTATTTGTATAGCGCCAATTCATAACAGAAGTTATCTCAGGACACTTTTCAAATAGAGCAGGTCTAGACCGAACTCCTTCTAACATTAGAACAGTTGGGGTGAGAGAGAGAGAGAGAGAGAGAGACAGAGAAAGAGAGAGCGAGAGACAGACAGACAGACAGGTGCACAGCAACAACAGTATTGGCAATGGCAATCTAGCAGGACCATGGCAGGAGGCTCCACCAGGATCGATAAGAACCTGCGAGACGAGAAAGCACAAGAACTCCGGGGAACTTTTCCGAGTTTCTGTCAGTACTCGTGCTGCAGCGTTCTGAATTAATTGGAGCGTTTTAATGGACTTATTGGGGCAACCTGATAATAAAGAGTTGCAGTAATCCAGCCTTGAAGTAACAAATGCATGGATTAGTTTTTCTGCATCTGTCTGTGATAGTATGTGTCTAATTTTTGTAATATTACATAAATGAAAGAAGGCAGTCCTAGAGGTCTGCTTCATGTGGGAATTAAATGACAAATCCTGATCAAAGATAACTCCAAGATTCCTGACAGTGGTGCTAGAGGCCAAGGTAATGCCATCTAGAGTAACTATATCTTTAGACAGTGAATTTTAACAGTTGTTTGCTCATTGTCTCGCAGATGGAAGTCTGAATTCAGACTTTTTACAAATCTCCATTATGAGAGATTTTATAGAGTTTATTGACATTATTAAAGACAGAAACGTCTCATTGTTATAGACAGACAGAGGACTTGGTGAGCGTGCTCAGTCGCTCTCTGTCTGCAGCAGATAACCAGATAAAGAAACGTGTGACTCTGCCTCAGTCTTCTTCTTTATTGTGTTTCAGGTTCCTGAGGAGGTACGAAGACCCTGACCCGCTCACATCCTGCTGCTCACCGTTTGTTGCTCCACATTTTAATTTCTTTCTCTGCGACGCCTTCAGTCTGATACCATCTCTCGTGTCTGTCTGTCAGTTCTGTGGTCAGAGGAACGTCCACCTCAACAGGAACTTCTTCCTGCGTCACGCCTCCGCCGCTCGCTCCGAAACCTTCATCAACCTGCGAGAAGTCTGCAGCCGCTTCTGCCTGCCGCCCGGAGAGTACCTGATCATCCCGTCCACCTTCGAGCCGCAGAAGAACGGAGACTTCTGCGTCCGAGTGTTCTCCGAGAAACAGGCCGACTTTCAGTGAGTCGAACTCAAGCTAAAGTTTGATCACAGCAACATCTAGTGGCCGTCAGAGGAAGTGTGGCTGCTGAATTAGAATAATAGGATAATAAAAGATAGATAGATAGATAGATAGATAGATACTTTATTTATCCCGAGGGAAATTCAAGTAATAATAAATGAGCTGATTGTGTTCCTGCAGGGAGCTGGACGACCCCATCGAGTCCCGAGTGGAGAAGGTGAGAGAACCAGCACTGCAACTTTCAGTTACATAGATATCGTCGTTTATTATTAATGAATAGTATTTAATCATGGTTATTGTGACATCGTGAACATGTGGAGAGTTTACTTCCTGTTTCAGATTGAGATCGACGAGGACGATGTGGACGATCGCTTCAGACGTCTGTTTGGTCAGCTGGCAGGAGGGGTGAGCTACTGCTGATAATAATAATAATAATAATAATAATAATAATAATAATATTAATATATGATTTGAATATCTTACATTAAACTGTTTCTGTGCTGCAGGACTGTGAGATCTCTGTGTTTGAGCTGCAGAAGATCCTCAACAAAGTGGTGACAAAACGTAAGAATCACATTATCATATATGATGATTAATATGTGATAATTAATATTTAATATATTAATTATCATATATGTCATATTATATATATTTATATCATATATAATATATTAATCATCATAAATCACATTATTATATAGAATCATTCATTATGATCCCCTGACGCTGATCTGAGGTCCAGTTTAAACTCTGTATGACTGTTTGTCTCTGACAGGATCCGACATTCAGACCAGCGGCTTCAGCATCTCCACATGTCGCAACATGGTCAACCTTCTGGACGTATCCTTCCACCACAGGAAATAACCCCTCAGTACACAGGTATGGGCTCTGTGGCCCTGGGAGTAGTCAGATTCTATACTGACTGGAAAGATGTGGCTCCCCCTTGTGGCTAGTTGAAATAAATCAGGAAATCACTAAATATATATTTTTAGGGACCGAGCCAGCCACCGCTGGAGGTCCCTATTGTTTTTGCTCGATTTCTTACCTATCATTTTTAGGCCACTTCGACTGCGTTTTTGCCCCCCTGAACATATACGAAAAGTCAATTTTATTTGGGAAAGTGGTCAGGCCTGGTGAAAAATTTTATATTCTATGCGTCGCTTTCAGGTTCGCCACTAGGTGGCGCTACTATCATGAAAAGTGCGTTTAGGCTAATAACTCCAGCATCGTTTGTCACACATTCAAAAAAACTTATATCCACGCGTTTCGGTGAATAGAGCTGAATCTCCCCATATAGGCCATGCCCACTTCCGCCTGGAATTTTTTTCCCGGCAGAGCGCGAAATGTCCATGAACTACTTTTTCGTGTTCCTCCTATGTGCTTTGTCCGATTCACACAAAATTTTTCACGTAGCATCTGAGGACCCTCATAATAAAACAGTGATTAAAATAATTTTGATATTTAAAAAAAAACAGCACGTTACAAAATTAGCACTTCCTGTGGATTTTTCGTCAAAAAAGGAAGTGGACCATTTCTCCACATTGGTATGTCCGATTCACACCAAGCTTGGGTCCATAGTTACACATGTCTTCCTTAAGCATCGTGCACAACTTCAGGCCATCGCCACTAGGTGGCGCTCTTTAAAATGAAGAAGTGTATGTCTCTACAACGGTATGTGTGACTAAGATGAAACTTGGTACGATGCTTCCCCATGGCTCCCTGAGGCTCGCTAAAAAATGTGTCAACAATCCGCCACTAGGTGGCGCTCTGGTGGCATGGTAAATCACTGTGCAGAGACCATAATAGTTATGAATATGAAATTCACAGGGCACGTGTAGAGTGGTGCCTGAAGCTCACATACCAAAAATCGTGTTCGTCGTGTTTGTATCGCCCCCTACAGGATTTTTAAAAAGCAGCCCCCGCGCCACATTTCACCGATATGGACGAAAGTCGGTAGGCACATGTAACATGTTGGGACGTACAAAAAAGCCTCTAGGACCCATACCCGAAACCCCATAGGAAGTCGGCCATTTTCATTTCCATTTTCGGCAAACTTTTCGCGTTATATTTCAACGAACTCCTCCTAGGGAATTTATTGGATATGCTTCAAAATTTGTGAGTACAGTCAAAAAATGGTTCTGATTAAAAGTTGTGCTATTTGTGCATATACGTTGAAGGGCGTGTCCGTGGCGTGCCGTCAAAGTTGGCCATAGTGAATTCCGTGTGCATTTTCTGTGAATTTTTTGCCTTGTATTTGAACGAACTTCTCCTAGGGAATTTCTCGGATCTGCTTCAAAATTTGTCAGTACAGTCAAAAAAATGGTGCTGATTAAAAGTTGTGCTATTCGAGACGTTGAACGGCGTGTCTGTGGCATGAGGTCAAAGTTGGCCACTTTGAATTCTGTGGTCATACAAACTGATTGAAAAGTTGAGCTGTGACTGTACAACAAACCGCGTGCCAGTGACAACTTGCCGATTTCAGCAGATTCGCCATAAAATACTGCTCATAACTTCAGTGTGCAATGTCCAATCTCCAATAAACTTAATATATTCTGAAACAGTTTTGCCCTGAACACGTCCTCATAACTTCAGCGTACATGATCCAATCTCAATGAAACTTCACGTGTTTGATAACACTCTCGCCTTGAACATGTCTACATGACAATATTCAGACATAGTGATAGCGCCTACTGGCAACAGGAAGTAAGCGCTGCGTGGCGATTTTGAGCTGAGTTATGTGAAATGACCGTGCCAGCGACGACTTGTCGAATTCAGCCGATTCGCCATAAAACAGTACTCATATCTTCAGTGTTCAATGTCCAATCTCCAATAAACTTCATATATTCTGTAACAGTCTCGCCCTGAACACGTCCTCATAACTTCAGCGTATGTGGTCCAATCTCAATGAAACTTCACGTGTGTTATAACAGTCCCGCCCTGAACTTATCTACATGACAATATTAAGACATAGTGATAGCGCCACCTACTGGCAACGGGAAGTAAGCGCTGCGTGGCAATTTTGAGCTGATATACGTGAAATTTCATGTTTTAGTCCGCACATGTAACGACGGCACGTGATGCGGCCGCAGCAGGCCCCGAGTTGCGTGGAGTGCAAGGTCCTGCTCAACGCTGCTTGCAGCTTTAATATTATATTATTATATATTATTTTGGCTATTAGCGAGAGAGACGGCTCTTTGTGAGAAGTTCAATTCAATTTTATTTGTATAGCGCCAATTCATAACAGAAGTTATCTCAGGACACTTTTCAAATAGAGCAGATCTAGACCGAACTCTTTATAACATTATTTACAGAGACCCAACAGTACCACCATGAGCAAGACCTTGGAGACAAGAGCAAGGAAACACTGCCTGTTAAAAGGCAGAAACCTAGGACAGATCCTTCGGCTCTAGGTGGGTGGTCGTCTGTCTCAACCAGTTGGGGTGAGAGAGGGAGAGACAGAGAGAGAGACAGAGACAGACAGAGAGAGAGACAGACAGACAGACAGACAGGTGCACAGCAACAACAGTATTGGTAATGGCATCTAGCAGGACCATGGCAGGAGGCTCCACCAGGATCGATAAGAACCTGCGAGATGAGAAAGCACAAGAACTCCGGGGAAGAAGTGAAGTTAGTAACATGCATTAATGGGACACAAATGAGTGCAGAAAGAGAGAGGAAGAGAGGAGCTCAGTGCACCATGGGAAATCCCCCGATAGTCTAGGCCTATAGCAGCATAACTAAGGGATGGTTCAGGACTCACCTGATCCAGCCCTAACTATAAGCTTTATCAAAGAGGAATGTCTTAAGCCTACTCTTGAATGTGGAGAGGGTGTCTGCCTCCCGAACCACAACTGGAAGCTGGTTCAACAGGAGAGGAGCTTGGTAACCCCTGTTCTACTTTTAGAGACTACAGGAACCACAAGTAGCCCAGCATTCAATTCAATTTTATTTGTATAGCGCCAATTCATAACAGAAGTTATCTCAGGACACTTTTCAAATAGAGCAGGTCTAGACCGAACTCTTTAAAACATTAATTACAGAGACCCAACAGTACCACCATGAGCAAGACCTTGGCGACAAGGGCAAGGAAAAACTGCCTGTTAAAAGGCAGAAACGTAGTACAGATCCTTCGGCTCTAAGTGGGTTGTCGTCTGTCTCGACCAGTTGGGGTGAGAGAGAGAGACAGACACACAGACAGGTGCACAGCAACAACAGGATTGGCAATGGCAATCTAGCAGGACCATGGCAGGAGGCTCCACCAGGATCGATAAGAACCTGCGAGACGAGAAAGCACAAGAACTCCGGGGAAGAAGTGAAGTTAGTAACATGCATTCAGAGAACGTAGTGTTCTAGTGGGGTAATAGGGTACTATGAGCTCTTTAAGATATGAAGGGGCCTGACCATGAATAGCTTTATAAGTGAGGAGGAGGATTTTAAATTCTATTCTACATTTTACAGGGAGCCAGTGCAGAGAAGCTAGTACAGGAGAGATGTGATCTCTTTTTCTAGTTCAGGTCAGTACTCGTGCTGCAGCGTTTTGAATTAATAAGAGATTAAGAAGTAATTTTCAGTAATTGGTAAAGTTACACTGCTCATGAGGATATTAATAATTATCCTAATAACCCAAATTCACCACGATAAACATATTTGTTTTATATGATGTCACTGCTGCAGTGGGGGCTGCTGGGTAATATCAGTATGAGTGTATGGCAGTTGGGTCCAGTCCATCAGTGAGCAGCTCCTGAACCCCAACTACAGAAAGACGGCAGTGGTAAACTGGGACTGGTGGAGTTTAAAGTGCTGTGGACCAAAATCGAGAACTACCTGGTGAGTCCCAACTTTTCCTGTTTGCTCAGAGACGGAATAACTTCGGAGTGTTGGTCCTCCGGCATATCACAGGCTGTTTCTGGGGTTCCTGATAGAAAGTAAAACACTGACCTCTGTTATTGTGCTGATATCCTTCCACGATCTTCAGCCTGTTCAGGCTTTTTGAAATGAAAGGATGAAAAAATAGTTGTGATTTATTTTTGTATAATTCTTTAAAAAATAGAAGAAAGCTTGTTCCTGTTGAATAAATAATAAACTAAAATATAAAAAATAAATCTTTATCTAGTTTATGAGTCAACGATTTAAAGAGATTGATCTCAAATAACTAATACTGCTCTGAACCTGTCTGTCTGTCTGTGTCTCTCTCTCTCTCTCTCTCTCTCTCTCTGTCTGTCTGTCTCTATCTGTCTCTCTCGCTCTCTTTCTCTCTCTCTCTCTCTCTCTCTCTCTCTCTCTCTCTCTCTCTCTCTCTCTCTCTCTCTCAATTCAATTCAATTCAATTCAAATGGCTTTATTGACATGACGTAACACTGTACATATTGCCAAAGCAAGCGTTTGGAATTAAAAATAATAATAATAACAATAAAGGAAAACAATATTTACAATAAATGAATTATAATCTATACTGTTGGTAATACTGTAACTATGATTGACTCAATCACAGTCACAATCAATCAATCTCAGTCAATAAGTAATTCATTACAATCAATCAATCAATCAATCAGTTTGTGTTACCTAAAAATGTCATTCAAACAGCAGTAAAGTAACTACAGTTAAAACAAGTAGTCTGTTGTCAATATAACAGTAATAACAAAGAAGAAAAAAATTAAAGAAAGTTAGAAAATGAAAATAATATATTAAAAATTAAAATAAATAAAATAGTGTGTGTGTTTTAAAAAAATAATTAAAATATATTAAAATGAAATAGATAGATAAAACTAAACGTGTGTGTGTGTGTGTGTGTGTGTGTGTGTGTGTGTGTGTGTAAAAAAAACTTCCCTCTCACCCTCTTGGGGTGGTATCTGTGTCATCCTCAAGCTCGGGTCCTCTACCAGAGGCCTGGGAGTTTGAGGGTTCTGCGCAGTATCTAGCTGTTCCTAGGACTGAGCTCTTCTGGACTGAGGCTTCTGATGTTGTTCCTGGGATCTGTTGGAGCCACTCCCCCAGTTTGGGGGTCACTGCCCCGAGTGCTCCTACTACCACGGGGATTACGCTCGCCTTGACCTTCCACATCTGCTCCAGCTGTTCTTTCAACCCTTGGTACTTTTCAACCTTTTCGTGTTCCTTCTTTCTGATGTTGGCGCTGGTATGGCCACATCTATCACCACCGCCTTCTTCTGCTCCTTGTCTACCACCACTATGTCCGGTTGGTTGGCCAGGACCTGTTTGTCAGTCTGGAAGCTGAAGTCCCACAGCACCTTGGCCCTGTTGTTCTCAGCCACCTTCTGTGGTGCGGCCCATTGGGATTTGGGTACTTCTATTACATACTGGGTACAGATGTTCCTGTACACTATTCCAGCCACTTGGTTGTGTCACTCCATGTATGCTGAACCGGCTAGCATCTTACACCGTGCTACTATGTGCTGGACTGTCTCAGGGGCATCTTTGCATAGTCTGCACCTTGGGTCAGATCTACTCTTGTAGATCTTGGCCTCTATGGCTCTTGTACCTAGGGCCTGTTCTTGTGCTGCCATGATCAGTGCCTCTGTGCTGTCTCTGAGTCCAGCCTTTTCCAGCCATTGGTAGGTCTTCTCGATATCAGCCACTTCTTCAATTTGGCGGTGGTACGTGCCATGTAGGGGCTTGTCCCTCCAGGTTGTCTGCTCCTCTTCCTCTGCACTCTTATCGGGTTTCTGTTGCCTGAGACATTCACTTAGCAGTTCATCCTTTGTGGCCATTTTTCTGATGTACTCTTGGATTTTTGATGTTTCATCCTGGATAGTGGCCTTGATGCTCACTAGTCCTCGGCCTCCCTCTTTCCGCTTAGCATACAGTCTCAGGGTGCTGGATTTGGGGTGAAACCCTCCGTGCGTGGTGAGGAGCTTTCTTGTCTTGATATCTGTGGCCTCTCTCTCCTCCTTTGGCCAGCTTATGATCCCAGCAGGGTATCTGATGACTGGCAGTTATACAGTCATATATATATATATATATGAAGACAAAAGAAAAACAAAAAACATTAGTTTAGTTAGAGTTTCCACTGGTTGTCCTCAGTTCGTGGCATGAGGAGACATATTTTGCTGCAATAATTTGACTTTTTGGCATTTCTCCCAGTAAATAGGGGAGTTTCTGTCTGTCTGATAATAATTAGAATTCGGGGTATATTTGGGAAATGTTTGCGAATTGTTTTTCTCTTAAAGCTTTGAATTTAGGGCATGAGGTTAGAAAATGCAGCTCTGTCTCTACCTGTCCTCTGTCACACTGGGAGCAGAGTCTCTCCTCTTCTGGTAGCCAGTTCTGTCTGTGGCGACCCGTTTCTATGGCCAGGCTGTGTTCACTCAGTCTGTACATTGTCAACATTGTTCTTAGTTCAGGACATTTTATTGTGCTCAGGTAATTTGCCAGTGTGAATTCTCTTTTTAGGGTCAGATAACATTGTAATTTACTTTGTGTTTTGCTCGATTCTTTCCAGTATTCAATATATTTTTCTTTTTGCTTGTTGATAATTTGGTTTGGTCTGATTGAGTTGGTGTTGCTGTCCTGAGGCTGTTGGGGACATGTTACTGCAGAGAGCCTCAGGACCAGCTGGCTGAGGGGACTCTTCTCTGGTTTCAGCTCCTGGTATGTTAGAGCTTTGTGATGGTATGTCTGGGGGTTAACTGATTTTAAGTGATTGTAAAATTTAATTGATCTTTTCTGTATTTTTAGTAGGAGGGGGTATTGGCCGAGTTCTGCTCTGCACAGATTATTTGGTGTTTTTCTCTGCACCTGCAGGATGCTCTTACAGAACTCGCTGTGGAAAGATTCTATGATTGTTTTGTCCCATTTGTCAAATTCATTATTTAGTTTTGGTCCCCAAATTTCGCTGCCATGTAGAATTATTGGTTCTAGTACAAATTGGAAAATTTTAAGCCAGATTTGGATTGGAATATAGATTTTAATGTTTCTCTTTATTGCATAGAAAGCTCTCCTTGCTTTGTCCCTCAGATCTTTCACAGCCATGTTGAGGTTTCCTGTGTATGTAATGTTGAGGCCAAGGTAAGTGTAGTTTTTTGTATGTTGTAATTTAGTGGTGTCTAAATAGAAATTGTGTGTAACCTGATATCTGTATTGTTTCTGAAAGATCATTATCTTAGTCTTTGCTGTGTTTACTGTCAGGGCCCAGGTCTGACAAAATCTCTGCAGGAGATTAAGGTGCTGCTGCAAACCTTCTTTAGTAGGCGAAAGCAACACTAAGTCATCTGCATATAGCAGACCTCTGATCTCTGTGTCGTTCAGGGTGAGGCCAGGTGCCGTGGAACGCTCTAGTTGGTTCGCTAATTCATTGATATAAAGATTGAAGAAACTTGCACTGAGATTGCATCCCTGCCTCACTCCCCGGCCCTGGGAGAAGAACGCTGTTTGTTTGTTTCCAATCTTTACGGCACATTCACTTTTTGTATACATGTTCTTAATCAGATCATATGTTTTTCCTCCAATGCCACTTTCAAGTAGCCTATAGAAAAGGCCCTTGTGCCAGATGGAATCAAAGGCTTTTTTGAAGTTAACGAAACATGCATATACCTTTCTTTCCTTAATTTTAAATTCTTGATCAGTTAAAGTCTGGAGGGTAAATACATGGTCCGTTGTGTGGCAATTTGGCAAGAAACCAATTTGGCATTTATGCAGAATATTGTGGTCATCAAGAAAGTTGACAACCGTACTGATCATCATTTTTTGTAATATTATTGTATAATTCACTAATTATTTTTCTTTATTATTCTCTCTCTCTGTCTCTCTGTCACTCTCTCTATGTATGTCTGTCTGTCTGTCTGTCTCTATTTCTGTCTGTGTCTCTCTCTCTGTCTGTTTCTCTCTCTCTCTCTCTCTCTCTCTCTGTCTGTCTCTCTCTGTCTATGTATGTATGTCTCTCTGTCTCTCTCTCTGTCTCTCTCTCTCTCTGTGTCTGTCTGTCTGTCAGAATATTTACCGTGAGAAGGACGTGGATAATTCGGGGACGATGAGCTCCACAGAGATGAGGACGGCTGTGGAGGAAGCTGGTAAAAACACAGCCTTTCACAATAAAGCGCAGATGAGAAAGTCTTCTAGTCTAAAATGAGCACTGTGCTTCACTCACTGACGTCCACCCATATACAGAATGTTTGCCCTGTGACCTCTGCCCTGTGACCTCTGCTGGTCCTCAGTGAACTGTGTTTGTGTTTCAGGGTTCAGTCTGAACAACCCGCTTCATCAGGTCCTGGTGGCTCGTTACAGCGAACCAGATCTCACCATCGACTTCGACAACTTTGTGAGCTGTTTGGTTCGACTGGAGACGATGTTCAGTGAGTCCTCACAGTCCTCACAGTCCTCACAGTCCAGCACACTGACCTTCCTCATGATGATGATGATGATGATGATGATGATGACTGTTTCCTCTCCACAGACACGTTCTACACTCTGGATAAAGACAACTCAGGAACCATCGAGCTGAGCATTCTGGAGGTACGAAGCTTCACAGAGACGATAACGTTTAATGAGATTACGCTACCAGAGGGAGCTAACGTTACGCTACCAGAGGGAGCTAACGTTACGCTACCAGACAGAGCTAACGTTACGCTACCAGACAGAGAGCTAACGTTACGCTACCAGACAGAGCTAACGTTACGCTACCAGACAGAGCTAACGTTACGCTACCAGACAGAGCTAACGTTACGCTACCAGACGGAGAGCTAACGTTACGCTACCAGACGGAGAGCTAACGTTACGCTACCAGACGGAGAGCTAACGTTACGCTACCAGACGGAGCTAACGTTACGCTACCAGACGGAGCTAACGTTACGAGCCAGAATGCGCTTTGTGATTTAACATGAATCTGTTGTGATTTTTCTGCAGTGGCTGAATGTGTCTCTGCTCTGAAGAACCAGGACCGTCCTGATCCTGGTTCTGATCCTGGTTCTGATCCTGGTTCTGATCCTGGTCCTGATCCTGGTTCTGATCCTGGTCCTGATCCTGGTTCTGATCCTGGTCCCAGACGTGCTGTAACAGCTGCATATGAAATATTCTACATTTGGTGAAAAGAGTTTGTTCGATTGTGATAATAATCAATTTATAAACCTGTAATAACAGATTGATAACAGATTGAGAACAGATTAATAACAGATTAATAACAGATTGATAACAGATTAATAACAGATTGAGAACAGATTAAGAACAGATTAAGAACAGATTAATAACAATGTTTATTGTTCAGTTTTGTTGAAACTGTAAACTTTGTTATTAACTGTTTATTATACGTTTATAATATAGATAATACGGGGATTAGTAAAGAGTTCTTCTTCTGTTTGTCACACCTGAAGCTTTATTGATGAACAGCTTTATTGATGAAATATTAATAAATGATTCACTAATAAAGAGAATAAATCAGACTGTCATCAGTTTTCTTTTATTAGAAAGCAGAGAAATGTTCACATTCAAGAAATATCAGGAACCTTCACACCTGACTCGTCCAATCAGAAGAGCCTGAGTGCAGCTGTGGGCGGGGCTTACAGCCACCTGTACTCAACTCAGAGTGACGTAAATATTATAAACTATAAAGCTAACCATTAGCATGCTAACAGCTGCTTATTAAAGCTTCTCTGATTGGAGCAGCAAGGAAGCCCCGCCCCCACACTTCCTGTCCAAACAGGAAGCACCTCTTCAGTGCAGCGGGCACCACCAGGAGGCGACATCAGAATGATCTCATCGCTGTATTTTCTGGCGAGCGAACTCCTCCGCCCACCTCAGAGCCTCGGTGATGTCACTGCTACTCCCCGTTCCCCTGGCAACCAGCGCAGAGCCCCCAGCGCTCCCCCCAAGGTGACGGCACACCGCCACCGCCCAATCAGAGGCCGAGAGGGACAGCGAGTCCTGAGGAGGGAGAGGAGGGCCAATCAGACGCTTCAGACACAAGGCCCCACCCACCCCAGAATGATGTCACTGACAGGTGTGTCATCGTTACCTTGGGAACCTGACAGGCACACAGAACCTTCCCAGAATGCCGCTGGTGAGCGAGCAGCATCACGTGACTGTGAGGAGCCGCAGTGCTTAGTTGGTTCACCGTCTTCATCAGGATCTAACAGGAGACAGACGCAGGTGAGACAGGTGTGAGACAGGGTTTTATATTTTTCTTCCAGTTTACTCGTTTAAATTCTTGTTTGGCGTAGTTCTTACCGACAGAGAGTCCGTCTCCACAGAGTCCACCTGCAGATCTTTCACGGCGTTCTTCTCCAGCAGAGCCTGAACTCTTGCCGCAGCCTGCAAAGCATGTTGGGAAAACAGTCCGAAAACATAAAAACTGTGAATAAAACAAACTGAAACGTTTGTAGATTATTATTTAAGACAGAGTCTCAGGTGAGTCTCACATCTCTGGTCTCCAGTTTCCTGACGGCGGTGTTGCTGGTCCTCTGCAGGGCTCTGAGGCGACTCTGCAGTTCTCTACGCTGCCACTGGGGGATGGGGGTGTTATCTACAGCCTGACGGACACAGCGCAGGGTCAAACAACAGATACACATCACCTGGTTCATATGTCAGTGGCTGCGGTGCATCATGGGTAGTGTACGTACATCAGAGATTACTCCGACCTCCTTGGCAAAACACTGGGCGGACTCAAGGCTGATGGGGGCGGAGCCTGTGAGTCTGGATGAAAGCGAGTCCACATCCTGAGACAACACCTGACCCGTCTCTCGAGCCTGGACAACGAGAGTCAGAGGTGTCAATAACTGATACAAATAATCAACACTCAATACAAACTCCGTACACACCTGTCTCAGGTGAGTCTTTAATAAAATTAAAATCTTTGTTTAAACTTGAAGGTACAGTATGAAAAACCACAACACTGCTGGTTCGATTCCAGCTTTTGTTGCACGTCATCCAAACAATATTCTACATATTAAACAACTTATTTAAAATTAGATTCTCATTCTAAAACCAGAGAATTCAGATTGTAGAACGTTGAATGTTATCAGAATTAAATGTGTATAAAAGTGTCCTCGAGGCACTGGCCGAGGAGGTGGAGTAGCAGCCATATATGATTCGAGCGTTTTAATGGACCCTAAACCTAAACTAAATATATATATAATATATATAATTCATTTGAAAGCCTTGTTCTTAGTCTTTCTCACCCAAACTGGAAAACACTGCAGCCAGTTCTATTTTTATCAAGTTTAGTCCTTAAATCAGATAAAGTAATTATTGTAGGTGATTTTAATATTCATGTGGATGTTGACAATGACAGCCTTAGTAATGCATTTATCTCATTAATAGACTCAATTGGCTTCTGTCAGAGTGTAAATAAACCAACTCATTGTTTTAATCACACTCTTGACCTTGTTCTATCATATGGCATTGATATTGAACATTTAATAGTCCTTCCACATAATCCTTTCCTATCTGACCATTATTTAGTAACTTTTGAATTCATACTATTAGATTATAAGCCATTAGGCAAAACTTCCTACAGCAGATGTCTATCTGACAGTGCTGTAGCTAAATTTAAGGAGGAGATTCCTTCAGTGTTTAATTCAATGCCATGTCTGAATTTAACAGAGTCCTATAACGACTTTAGTCCCTCTGAAATTGATAATCTTGTCGATAGTGCTACAGGCTCACTACGATCAACATTAGACTCTATCGCTCCTATAAAAAGGAAATTATTAAAACATAGGAGACTAGCACCTTGGTATAACCACCAAACCCGCCAGTTAAAGCAAATAGCTAGGAAATCTGAAAGGAAATGGCGCTCTTCCAAATTATCAGAATATCGCTCAAATTGGCAAGATGATCTTAAGATTTATAGAAAGGCCCTCCGTAATGCCAGAGGAGCCTATTACTCAGCACTAATAGAAGAAAATAAGAATAACCCTAGGTTCCTCTTCAGCACTGTAGCCAGGCTGACAGAGAGTCACAGCTCTATTGAGCCACATATCCCCATAAACTTAAGTAGCAATGACTTCATGAGCTTCTTCTATAATAAAATTATTACTATTAGAGAGAAAATTAATCACCAACTGCCATCAACAGTTATCAGTGGCTCTCCAAGTTCAGGGACTTTAACTGTCAATGTAAACTTAGATATATATTTAGACTGTTTTTCTGCTATCGATCTTCATCAGTTAACTTCAATCATTTCTTCATCGAAGCCATCAACCTGTCTGTTAGACCCGATCCCAACTAGGCTGCTTAAAGAAGTTGTTCCCTTAATTGGCACTTCTTTACTGGATATGATTAATCTTTCTTTATTATCAGGATATGTACCACAGTCCTTTAAAGTAGCTGTAATTAAACCCCTTCTTAAAAAAGCCCACTCTTGACCCAGGGGTTTTAGCCAACTATAGACCGATTTCTAACCTCCCGTTCCTCTCTAAGATTCTGGAGAAAGTAGTTGCCAAAGAGTTGTGTGACTTTCTACATAACAATAGTTTATTTGAGGATTTTCAGTCAGGATTTAGAGTTCATCACAGCACAGAGACAGCTCTGGTTAAAGTTAATAATGACCTTCTGATTGCCTCTGACAATGGACTTGTCTCTGTACTTGTATTATAAGATCTTAGTGCTGCATTTGAAACCATTGACCATAATATTCTTTTACAGAGACTTGAGCATCAAATTGGCATTAAAGGAACCGCACTAAGCTGGTTTAAGTCATATTTATCAGATCGCTCGCAGTTTGTACATGTTAACGATGAATCTTCAATAAATACTACAGTTAGTCATGGAGTTCCACAAGGTTCTGTACTTGGACCAATACTATTTACTTTATATATGCTCCCTTTAGGCAACATTATTGGGAATCACTCCATTAACTTTCACTGTTATGCAGATGATACGCACGTATATCTATCAATCAAGCCCGATTAATCAATTATCTAAATTACAAACATTTCTTAAGGACATAAATGATGTTAAAACTCGGAAAAAAACGAAATTCTTGTTCTTGGCCCCAAAAACCTTAGAGACTCACTGTCTAAAGATATAGTTACTCTAGATGGCATTAACCTGGCCTCTAGCACCACTGTCAGGAATCTTGGAGTTATCTTTGATCAGGATTTGTCATTTAACTCCCACATAAAGCAAACCTCTAAGACTGCCTTCTTTCATTTACGTAATATTACAAAAATTAGACACATACTATCACGGACAGATGCAGAAAAACTAATCCATGCATTTGTTACTTCAAGGCTGGATTACTGCAACTCTTTATTGTCAGGTTGCCCCAATAAGTCCATTAAAACGCTCCAATTAATTCAGAATGCTGCAGCACGAGTACTGACAGGAACTAGAAAAAGAGATCACATCTCTCCTGTACTAGCTTCTCTGCACTGGCTCCCTGTAAAATGTAGAATAGAATTTAAAATCCTCCTCCTCACCTATAAAGCTCTTCATGGTCAGGCCCCTTCATATCTTAAAGAGCTCATAGTACCCTATTACCCCTCTAGAACACTACGTTCTCTGAATGCTGGGCTACTTGTGGTTCCTATAGTCTCTAAAAGTAGAACAGGAGCCAGAGCCTTCAGTTACCAAGCTCCTCTCCTGTGGAACCAGCTTCCAGTTGTGGTTTGGGAGGCAGACACCCTCTCCACAAGAGTAGGCTTAAGACATTCCTCTTTGATAAAACTTATAGTTAGGGCTGGATCAGGTGAGTCCTGAACCATCCCTTAGTTATGCTGCTATAGGCCTAGACTATCGGGGGATTTCCTATGGTGCACTGAGCTCCTCCCTTCCTCTCTCTTTCTGCACTCATTCATGTTCCATTAATGCATGTTACTAACTTCACTTCTTCCCCGGAGTTCTTGTGCTTTCTCGTCTCGCAGGTTCTTATCGATCCTGGTGGAGCCTCCTGCCATGGTCCTGCTAGATTGCTATTGCCAATACTGTTGTTGCTGTGCACCTGTCTGTCTGTCTCTCTCTCGCTCTCTCTCTCTCTGTCTGTCTCTCTCTCTCTCTCTCTCTCTCTCTCTCTCTCTCACCCCAACTGGTCGAGACAGACGACCACCCACCTAGAGCCGAAGGATCTGTCCTAGGTTTCTGCCTTTTAACAGGCAGTTTTTCCTTGCCCTTGTCGCCAAGTGCTTGCTCATGGTGGTACTGTTGGGTCTCTGTAAATAATGTTAAAGAGTTCGGTCTAGACCTGCTCTATTTGAAAAGTGTCCTGAGATAACTTCTGTTATGAATTGGCGCTATACAAATAAAAATTGAATTGAATTGAATCGTCTGCATAAAACTGAACAATTACAGCAGTTGAAATAACAGTTGAAATATTTCCTTCCTTAATAATAAATCTGATGATTACAACGTTTATAAAGATCAAACATGTTGAGAGCAGTTAGTAACTGACCCGCGCTGCTTCCTGTCCCGTCACCGCGACAATCCGACTGATTCCTTTCACCATCTGTCTCTCAGAGATAATCACCAGATCCTCGATGGCGCCGGTCTGCAGCAGGTGACTGAACACAGACAGTCTGTGTTAACCGTTGCCTCACCGCCACCGCCCCGAAACACAGCCCCGAAACACGCTCTACACTTTTTGTTAAATGTGTTGCTAAGTGACAGTTTGAACAGGTGAACAGTCTGAACAGCTTGAACAGGTGAACAGTCTGAACAGGTGATAAACAGTCTGAACAGGTGAACAGGTGTGTTTCAGTCTCACGTTCCACAGCAGAGTTCCACAGAGGTCCCTCTGTCTGTTTGATCGTCCAACAGGTCAGAGATCGGCATCGCCACCGACACCACCCGAACAGGGTCTGGATACACCTGTAGATAGACAGACAGTAAGGACACTTGCAGGCAGGCAGGCAGGCAGGCAGGCAGGCAGGCAGGCAGGCAGACAGTTAGGACACCTGCAGACAGACAGTCTCCCCTCACCTCGTCCACTGTCCTCAGCCCGTCGATGCACCTGGCTGTCTGCAGAGGAAGCTCCTGGCTGTGGACGATCTGATTGGCTGAGATGATGTCACTGACACACGCCTCCACCTGCTGCAGCTGAGAGACACTCAGCGAACCCTGCACAGCACCAATCAAATGCTCCGTCACCAACAGGTCAACTTATAATAATGTCATCAGTTGTCTCCTCGTCATGTGACCAAGAGAACGCAGTAATGTTCACTTCCTGTATGTGTCTTTGGTTGATTGGTGGTTAATTTGTGGTTAATTGGTGATCGTTGAGCTGGTTAGTGGTTTGCTTTAGCTCTAGGGGTTAGTAAGGGAGTTTGCTGTCTGACCTTGACGCTGAAGTCGAAGCGGAGGCGATCAGCTGACACATGAGATCCTCTCTGCTGGACTGAAGGACCCAGAACTTCCCTCAGTGCAAAGTTGAGGATGTGAGTGGCTGTATGTTTGACCATACAGGACAATCTGTGCACCTGAGAGACGACAACATTACACAGGTCAGACCTCTTAATGCTCCACCCTCTGGTCAATGTGTACATGGTTAGCTCCCTGCTGGCCCCAGTCTGCTCCAAACAAAGAGGTCCAGACTGTAACTGCTGCTCAAACCTTAAACCGGACTTACATTTACCAAAGTCTCTATACTTAGACCAGTTAATCAGCAGGTACACTGTTACCTGTTCAACCAACTAAATGATCTGGATCTGGATTCACACTCTGGGCTTAAACTGGAATTGGTCAGGACTTACCGGCAGAGAGCTGTTCGCTTCCTCATATATACTGCAGTCATGAAAACGGGTCAGGGGTGAAAAAGGTGAGAAGGATATTACCCCTCTAGGGGGGTCTGGGGGCATGCTCCCCCGGAAGAAAAATCTGAATATTCCATATTTTAAAGCATCAATCTGATTCATTTTGAGATGCATTTTTTGCCAACCTGGGGAGAGCTGGAGAAACTTAACTTCAGCCATGGGTCAAAAATATTATGGCCTCCTTACTAAGTATTATGCATTAAGCCATTGTCAGCCAGCCTGTCACTGGGTCTAACATTTACAGTATATGAGGCACAATGTGGTAAGGTCATGAAAACAGGTCATGAAAATATACTATACTATACTATACTACTCCTAAAACAGCTGGGCACTGTAGTTTCTGGCAAAAGTTACCGAAACAGAAATAAACAGTGTATTTGTAATGGGACGACTTTCAGCTACGGATTTGGTGAGCTAGTGAGTATTTGCAGCAGAAGAATGGTGTATAACGGATTGACTCAAAATAAACTACAGTGTAAACAAAAGATTAAACGGAAATGTTGCCGATCTTCAACCTTAAAGGGATAGTTCGGGTTTTTTGAAGTGGGGTCGTATGAAGTACTTATCTATAGTCAGTGTGTTAGCTACATTAGCTGCTGCTCAGCGATCCCTCAGTTTGGGGAAGCAGAGAGCTGCTCCAGCACAGACCATCAGCTTTGCACTGCAGTGAACGGAGTCCAGATGCAAAGTGAATTTTAACCACCTAAAACAAGGCCCACCTAAAAAAGTCTATATCAGTTGTTACATGGAGAAAATTCACACCGCTTTACATCTCCGTCAGACGGCCCTTCCTTTGAATATTTCCATGCACTCGCGCTCCCTTCTGGCACGCGCACCTGTTCGCAGTTCACTGAATCTCTGGTACCTACCCCCCCCTAAACATTTTCTCATTGAATCTACACGATTCACGTAGGTCACCTATTTTGGTTTCAAAACAGCGAATTTCGCCGAAAGGTGATTTTCATGTATGATACTGATAGGTTGAGTGTTTGGTGTGTACCTGGTCCAGGTGTAGCTGGACCTGGTCTCCAGTCTTCAGGCTGTCAGCTGCAGTCACCTGATGGACCACGTACCCCCCCGCCAGAAGCACGGCCTCCACAGGGTACAGGATGTCCTGAGAGGCAGAAAACACCCGGAGTCAGACTTCACCTGGACACACAACAGTTAATCTTCCCATGATGCTTTGCTCCCTGGGCGGTCAGCTGACCTGCAGTCCGTCCCGGGTGAAGTAGCCCTGGTCATGTGACTGCCCACCCTGCTCAGAGTAGAAGCAGGTTTGATCCAGAATGACGCCACAGCGCTGACCCTCAGTGACCTCTGACACCAGAGTGTGACCGTCGTACAGAGCCAGGACTGTCGCACAGCATGCTGGGAACACTGGGGAGGAAAACAAAGATCATCTGTAGCAACTGGACTCAGAGGGTCAGGTGGGACCTCTCTAGTGTTGTTGGCAAATATGAGGAGAATTCAGCACGAGTGAAGCACCAGTGAAACACCAGTGCAAACCCCTGGGATAATTAAAGTATTTCTGATTATGATTCTGATAAAACACCAGTGAAACACCAGTAAAACACCAGTGAAACACCAGTAAAACACCAGTAAAACACCAGTGAAACACCAGTGAAACACCAGGGAAACACCAGGGAAACACCAGGGAAACACCAGTAAAACACCAGTGAAACACCAGTGAAACACCAGTGAAACACCAGTGAAACACCAGGGAAACACCAGTGAAACACCAGTAAAACACCAGTAAAACACCAGGGAAACACCAGTGCAAACCCCTGGGATAATTAAAGTATTTCTGATTATGATTCTGATAAAACACCAGTGAAACACCAGTAAAACACCAGTAAAACACCAGTGAAACACCAGTGAAACACCAGTAAAACACCAGTGAAACACCAGTGAAACACCAGTGAAACACCAGGGAAACATAGAGTTAGTGGTTTCCTGGTGTGGGACAGAGACAGGTGTGTTACCTGTCCAGGTAGGACTCACCGTATCGGCCCTGCTCCAGGCTGTACTGGTATTTGAGGCTGTCGTCCGTGTGAGGAACACCGAGATGCTGCAGCTCTGCCAGGCTGAGGACGTCCAACATCACCTGAGACTGAACACCTGACTGAAGATCAGACATCACCTGAGAGACGCAGAGAGACAGGTGTTTGAAGACACTTCTAGAACACAGCCCTTCACAGTAAAAGCACTCACAGTAAGTCATACAGCTCCTTCACAATAAAAGCCCTGTAGTTTCACAGAGTGCTTCACCTTGTGGTTCTCTGCGATCAGTCGGTCTAACTCCTGGCGGTCCACCTGGACTCCTCTCTCCTCCAGCATCAGGTCCACCAGGTCCAGAGGAAAACCCAGGTCCCTGTGCAGAGACCAGGCCACCGAGGCTGACACACACACACACACACACACACACACACACACACACACACACACACACACACACACACACACACACACACACACACACACACACACACACACACACACAGAGAGGTCAGCCCACCCTGGTACTAGTTTTATTGTGAAGTCTTAAAATAATGTGCACTCTCGTACAGTACATGTGCACTCTGGTACATTGTTAAGACTGTGTGTCTGTACTATGACTGAAGAAGACTATGAACAGAGAAAGCTTCAGAAACAACTAGTTTGGAGTGGACCTGTGTCTGCAGGTGGCTGATAGGAGTTGTAGTAGGTGAGGCAGGGACTGACCAGGGAAGACTCCATGTTTGTAGTCCTTTCTGTTGAGCGTGCGGTGGATCAGCCTGCTGCCCTGCTGCAGAGACGACAGGAAGTGAGCCTCGTTCTCGTTGATGACGTCCATGATCTGAAAGGACAGCAACTGTCAATCAACAATGACAACTAATGACAACTTCCTGTCCTTCCTATCTGGCTGGGCTCAGTCAGGATCAACAGGACTGAGATTCAACAGGCAGAATATGCAACAATCTTCAGCCATTACGTAAATCCAACGTTTTCAGGCCGACAGGTACAGGCTCTACCAGGTGAGCTACCGGGACGCCCTGTTTATGTCCAATATCTCTATTAGTTTATTAATCTAAGTCCAACAGTCATCTTCTTTTAGCTGTTTTTGGGTTCAAGTAACACACATGCTGATTCGGTTTGACTCTGGGCACGAGCCCAGCGGTGACTCTTTACGGGCAGAGAGAGCAGCGATGGACGAGAGATCTCAAGAGTGAATGAAGAGAGGGAGCGACGTGAGCAAGAACTGTGAATCAATCACAGTACACCGGTTTTAATTAATATATATATATAATATACACTCTAGATGGCATTAACTTGGCCTCTAGCACCACTGTCAGGAATCTTGGAGTTATCTTTGATCAGGATTTGTCATTTAACTCCCACATAAAGCAGACCTCTAGGACTGCCTTCTTTCATTTACGTAATATTAGAAAAATTAGACACATACTATCACAGACAGATGCAGAAAAACTAATCCATGCATTTGTTACTTCAAGGCTGGATTACTGCAACTCTTTATTATCAGGTTGCCCCAATAAGTCCATTAAAACGCTCCAATTAATTCAGAACGCTGCAGCACGAGTACTGACAGGAACTAGAAAAAGAGATCACATCTCTCCTGTACTAGCTTCTCTGCATTGGCTCCCTATAAAATGTAGAATTGAATTTAAAATCCTCCTCCTCACCTATAAAGCTCTTCATGGTCAGGCCCCTTCATATCTTAAAGAGCTCATAGTACCCTATTACCCCACTAGAACACTACATTCTCTGAATGCTGGGCTACTTGTGGTTCCTATAGTCTCTAAAAGTAGAACAGGAGCCAGAGCCTTCAGTTACCAAGCTCCTCTCCTGTGGAACCAGCTTCCAGTTGTGGTTCGGGAGGCAGACACCCTCACCACTTTCAAGAGTAGGCTTAAGACATTCCTCTTTGATAAAGCTTATAGTTAGGGCTGGATCAGGTGAGTCCTGAACCATCCCTTAGTTATGCTGCTATAGGCCTAGACTATCGGGGGATTTCCCATGGTGCACTGAGCTACTCTCTTCCTCTCTCTTTCTGCACTCATTCATGTCCCTTTAATGCATGTTACTAACTCCACTTCTTCCCCGGAGTTCTTGTGCTTTCTCGTCTCGCAGGTTCTCATGGATCCTGGTGGAGCCTCCTGCCATGGTCCTGCTTGACTGCCATTGCCAATACTGTTGTTGCTGTGCATCTCTCTCTCTCTCTCTCTCTCTCTCTCTCTCTCTCTCTCTCTCTCTCTCTCTCTCTCTCTCTCTCTCTCTCTCTCTCTCTCTCTCTCTCTCTCTCTCTCTCTCTCTCTCCCCCAACTGGTCGAGACAGACGACCACCCACCTAGAGCCGGAGGATCTGTCCTAGGTTTCTGCCTTTTAACAGGCAGTTTTTCCTTGCCCTTGTCGCCAAGTGCTTGCTCATGGTGGTAATGTTGGGTCTCTGTAATTAATGTTATAAAGAGTTCGGTCTAGACCTGCTCTATTTGAAAAGTGTCCTGAGATAACTTCTGTTATGAATTGGCGCTATACAAATAAATAAAATTGAATTGAATTGAATTGAATTATATAAGTGATACTAATTCATTAATACACATTTTATTTGATTGTTTATTTTAATATTTATATTTAATTATGAAGCAGCAGAATCAGGAAGTGCTGCAGTGTCTCACTATATGCACAGAGAGTATATTTTACAAGCACGTTAATATATATGGATCATTTATACTGAAGGGAAATTATCATCTGTCTGTCTGCCTGCCTGCCTGCCTGTCTGCCTGCCTGTCTGCCTGCCTGCCTGTCTGCAGGTTAATACTGACTGAAGTTACCTTTAAAATACAAAACAATAATTCAAATTAAAAGAATAAATTAATAAACTGTAAGTTACATCCATCACACTCACCCTGTCTGCCTCCCTGTGGAGCTCCGGATACACATCACCCTGAGACAGACAGACAGACAGACAGACAGACAGTGTTTACAGTGGTGTTGATGTTTATATTCTCCAGTAAACAGTTGTTTGTATGTATTCATACTGTATTGACTCTTTGGTAAGAGGGATTATGGGAAATGGAGTTTACCAGTGTGTGGGCGACGGCAGGAACCAGGCTGGCCAGAGTTCCCTGAGGAGCCTGAAGAACCTCGACACAGAACCGAACCGCCCGCCGCAGAATCCTCCTCAGCACCAACCTGATAGTGATTGACGATTGACTAGTGATTGATAATCCATCAGATCAACTATTAAATTCATCACCAACTATACTGATAATCAATGAGTCTGATTTCAGATTCTATTTCTTTAGGACAGTAAAGTCGATATCTTCAGGACAGAACACTGATCAACTAATCGATCAATGGAGAAAGTGATCGAGAGATTCGTAAATAATAAAAACAATCAATGGTTGCATCTGACTGGCTGTCCGTTGTGTTCTAACATCTGATTGGTCGATGACTCACTCTGCTCCTGACATTCCCGGATGAACTCCGTCTGCGATGCACACTGATAAAGTACGGACGTGGTCCGCCACCACTCGGTACGCCGTGTCCACCTTCTCCTTCCCCGCCGCCCCCATCCTGCCACCGTATGCCGCCACCCTCGACCTCTGGGGATACACAGAGGTCGAGGTAACCACGGTAACAACAAGCTGTCAATCAAACTTTACTACAGCTGTTACATCATGAATACACAATGTGCAGTATTCAGAGTATAGGGTGTATTTGTGGTATTGTGGAGTACTCGGTGCAGTGATATATTTGGTGTAGTGTCATGGTGGGCGCGGTGGGCGTACCTGGTGGATGGCGTCCAGCAGCGGCGTGAACAGGTCGGTGTCGTAGTTTGATCTTTTGCCCTGCAGAACGCTCACCAGTCTCTCCAGTCCCATCCCAGTATCCACACTGAACTGGGGCAGCAGCCGCAGACTGCGGTCCACCTCCCTGACACACACATTCAAACACAACCCATTATACTGGGAGCTGACCAGTACGACCAGCAGGCTGGTTTACAGGCGAGTATATGAACCTGTTGTACTGCATAAAGACCAGGTTCCAGATCTCCACCACGTCAGGACTGTCAGCGTTGACGAGCGCTGCAGCATCTCGTCCTCCCACATGGTCATAGTGGATCTCGGTGCAGGGGCCACAGGGGCCCGAGTCCCCCATCTCCCAGAAGTTCTCCTTCAGGCCGAACGGCAAGAGGCGACCAGAAGGAACCCTGAAGAGGAGACCGGCCGTCAGCTACAAGAACTCACCAATAACACAATGGGAGCGCCGCAGGGCTGCATTGTGGATCACTATTCTCCTGTACACTGACGATACGCTCCTGTACACTGCTGACGCTTCCTAAAGAGTGACTCGTGTCTGAACTTCAATATTAAATATTTATGTGACAGATTATAACGAAAAACAAACCTGCAGATTTATGAAAAGATGTGTTTGTTTCAGACCCCAAAATATTTCATGTCATCATCATTTGTTTTCTATTTTCAGTGAACATTCATACCATTCAATGTCTGAAGGGTTTCCTGTTGGCACTAGGGGGCGCTGTGTGTCTTGATTCTCCCTTTAAATATTATTATATTTATATCATATATCATATTATATATCAGAATATATTTCTGTGAGAAATGTACATTTCTGCCACTTTTATTAGATTTCAGGAGTGACTATAAAAATAATAATAAAGATAATAATAATAATATAATAATAATAATAATAATGATACTAATAATATATTATTAGTATTAGTAGCCGATATTCTTTTCAGTATTAATACAATGAAAGTTGAAGTTGTTCTCTTATTTTGCACAGACAGTGTTTACATTTGGAAAGCCATGTTGCATTTATGTATGCATCCAGTGAGTAGGGTGGCCATCAGGCTGCAGGCGCAGTTTGTCCTCCTTTTGAGAAAATAACTAAAAAGGTCGCCTTTTGACACATTACCTCATTAGTTTAATACTTATTGGCTAAAAATGTGTGTCAAAATAAGTAATTTCATTGGTTACATTTTTCGTGTTGTGACCTATCAACACATGGCTAATTCTAATATTCAAATGAGCCATGTGTTGATTCGCCACAACACAGCTCACCACAGTTGCTAGGTGACCACCAGGCTGTCAATCAAACTCTCAGCCACAGAGAACATAATGTGAGCTAACGTCGGTTGTTGGAGTGAAATTCTGAAAATGTTCATACTCATATGTAGATAGGCAAAGTCTATACATCTGAAACAGAAGGTGCTGTATTTGTTTCCCCTTTATCTATCCAGATAAAAACATTAAGAACAGTTTCTGTATGATGTTTATCAGACCTATGTAATCTGAATTGGAAGGGCATGTTGTCATGAGCTGTATCTTGTATATTATTATTAGCTATGTGGTATGTGTATGCACCTTTATGTAATCTGGTGGAAGAACATATTAAAATTTAAAACCGGATCATACCAAACAAACATCTGCCTGCGTGTCCCTGTGTATGCAAAGTGTCCTCCTTTTTGACGTGAAGGAAATGGCCACCCTACCAGTGGGGCATCATGTGTTAATTCCACAATAGAAGATATGTTATGTTGTTACAGTTTTGGTGTAAAAAGCCTGTATATATCGATTCGGGTGGTATCGGTATCGGAAATTGAGAGTTGGACAATATCGGAATATCGGATATCGGCAGAAAAGCCTATATCGAGCATCCCTAATCATTAATAATGATGATAATAACAATAAGAAGAAGAAGAAGAAGAAGAAGAAGAACCTGAGCAGTTTGAAAAGGATAAAAACAGATCTGTACCGGGAGCAGCTGTACCGGGGGACCTACCCGATGTCCAACCAGATCTGTCGGGTTTCTTCATCCGCCGGCAGACCGGACGCAGCGTCTCCGGCAAAATAGGACACATACAGTCTGTCTGTGGGTATCCCATAATGCTCTGTGAGGAGGCTCCACGCCATGCAGCAGGCCTCCTCCTGCAGAGACAAAGGTCCGTTAATGTGACGCTCAGTCGTCGTCGTCGTCCTCCTCCTCCTCCTCCTCCTCCTCCTCCTCCTCACCTTGAAGTAATCTCCAAACGACCAGTTCCCCAGCATCTCGAAGAAGGTGTGGTGGTACACGTCTCGGCCCACGTCCTCCAGGTCGTTGTGTTTGCCACCAGCTCGCACACATTTCTGACTGTTGACCACGCGGCGGTATGAGGCCATCTCACTGCGGGGGTCCACGGTCCCCAGGAAGATGGGCTTGAACTGGAACAAGAGTCCAGAGTCTGAACCGTCACACCTTTACCTGAACTATTTAATATTCAGAATACACAGTCTGACAGGATTAAACTATTACAAATAAATCACTGACTTTATATTTCTGTTCCATTACAGGCTGTAACACACTGACATTAACTCCAATTATTGATCTGTCAGAACTCTTGTTGTATATCAGTTAGCTGTGACAGACGGGCTCTTATTTTGAAAGCGCTAGCTGTGACAGACGGGCTCTTATTTTGAAATGGTTAGCAGTTAGCCGGTTAGCACTTAAGCAGCAGCAGCTGTTGTGGACCACAACAGACCGGGACAGACCGGACCGGGCTCAGGCTGACCTGGTTCATGCCGGCGTTGACGAACAACAGGCTGGGGTCTCCTCTGGGCCGGACCGGGGAGGACGGGACCAGCCGGTGTCCGTGTTTGTCCCGGAAGAAGTCCAGGAAGGTGCTGCGGACGCAGGCAGCGGGCAGCTCCGGAGGACAGCCGCTGAGGGAGCGAGCTGAGCGGGCAGAGAGGCCGGCCGACGGCCCGCTGAGCCGCCGGAGCCTCCGCTGGAGCAGTCGGAACATCCGGATCAGTCAGAACCGGACTCAACCCCGACCACAGTGACCCTCATTGGGACTACAGGTTGTTGAGACGCGCATGCGCACTCTGTGCCTTCTTCTTCTAGTGTGTGTGAGAGCCAGTGGACCTTTAGCGCCACCTGCCGATCAGACTGATCAGTGAACTCAATAACTGCAGTTCGATTACTTCCTGTGAATATTGATCAGAGATGAGTTTTTCTGATCTGTTTGTTTTTTAAAGTATTTTTTGGGGCCTTTTATTGTCTTTATGATAGTGACAGCTGAAGACAGAGAGGAAAGGGGGGGCGGAGAAAGAGGATGACACGCAGCAAAGGGCCGCAGGTTGGATTCAAACCCTGGGCCCCTGCAGCAAGAACTCAGCTTTGGTACACGGGACACCAGCTCTACCCACTGAGCTAACCGGGCACCCCATATTATGTGTTTTTATCCTTTCTAACGAGAGAGAGACAGACAGACAGACAGACAGACAGGTGCACAGCAACAACAGTAGCAACAACTACACTAATAGTAGTAGAATTAGTTTTTCTGCATCTGTCTGTGATAGGATGTGTCTAATTTTTCTAATATTACGTAAATGAAAGAAGGCAGTCCTAGAGGTCTGCTTTATGTGGGAGTTAAATGACAAATCCTGATCAAAGATAACTCCAAGATTCCTGACAGTGGTGCTAGAGGCCAAGTTAATGCCATCTAGAGTAACTATATCTTTAGACAATGAGTCTCTAAGGTTTTTGGGGCCAAGAAGAAGAATTTTGTTTTTTTCTGAGTTTAACATCAGAAAATTGCAGCTCATCCAGGATTTTATGTCCTTAAGACATGTTTGTAATTTAGATAATTGATTAATTTCATTGGGTTTGATTGATAGATATAACTGCGTATCATCTGCATAACAGTGAAAGTTAATGGAGTGATTCCTAATAATGTTGCCTAAAGGGAGCATATATAAGGTAAATAGTATTGGTCCAAGTACAGAACCTTGTGGAACTCCATGACTAACTGTAATGGATTACAGTTACATTACTCTCCTTTATATTCAGTGGTTATTTTACTGTATTGATGTATTTTACAGTAACTAATTACTTTTGTCTGACTGCTGCAGTTACTAAACTATTATCTGACATTAATAAATCTCAACTGTCTGATTACACCTGAATGCATCAGTATTAATAATGCAGTGATAATAATAATAATAATAACAATAATAATGGAATTATACTACTCAGATTAATGTTTTCTTCCTGATTGAATTCTTTCAGAAACACATTATTGATCCTGGAGGGAACCGGATGCGTTAATCAAACACATAATCAGGACATTATAATAATAATTAAATATATATAAAATAAAAGAAGTTTTTCTGAATCTCTCTGACCTCCGGTGGGTCCGTGAACGCCTCAGCAGCGGTCAGCGGGGTCGCGCGCTCATCAGCCCTCATTAGACTCACCTGTGGCTGTGACGGCAGCGGCTCGTGCGGTCGCGTCGAACCGGAGCGTTTACCGAGTTTACCGACAAGAGTTTACCGTTAGTTACCGGCGGCGGGATGCAGAAAGGCCTGAAGAAGTACTTTGTCAACATGGACGAGTATCTGTGCAGCCTCGGCCTGTACCGGAAGATGGTGGCCCGGGACGCGTCCAGTCTGTTCCGAGCCGTGTCAGAACAGGTGAGCCGGGCTAAAGGTTAGCTAACAGCGGGGAGAGCGGCAGGTAGAACCGGGTTAGAGAGCGGCAGGTAGGGGCGGGTTAGAGAGCGGCAGGTAGAACCGGGTTAGAGAGCGGCAGCTTCTGACCGGGGGAGAGGGGTCAGAGGTCAGGGCCGGTGTGTGTGTGTGTGTGTGTGTGTGTGTGTGTGTAAATGGTAAATGGAGCTGTACCTGTATAGTTTCCTTTCTAGTCTTCCGACCACTCAAAGCGCTTTCAACACACACACACCACACACACACACACACACACAAGCTGATGCACGGCATGGGGTTCAGTATCTTGTTTAAGGATACTTCGTGGCACCAGGGGCGGGAGATCGAACCCACAACCTTCCGATTGGGGAGCGACCCGCTCTGCCTCTGAGCCGCAGCCGCCCCCCATTAGCCTTTGAGAGCTGATTGATTGATGTGTGATTGGTTATTGATCACTGTGTGTGTAGCTGTATTACTCTCAGAACTACCACCAGAGGATCCGTCAGGACTGCGCTGACTTCATGAGAGCCAACAGGTGCAACTTTGAACCGGTGAGTTACCTGGAGCATCTGTCCCGTTACCATGGTAACCTCCAGGTTACTACACCTGGAGCTGTGAGAGCCAATCAGAGAGCAGTATTAACCGTCCTTACTGAGACTGTCTCTCTTCAGTTTGTTGAAGGTTCGTTTGAGAAATATTTGGAGCGTCTGGAGGACCCGAAGGTGAGCGGCTGTGACCTTTGACCCCTCTGTGAACAGGTGTGTCTGTGTGTGTGTGTAACAGTGAGTGTGTGTTTTCAGGAGACGGTGGGTCACGTGGAGATCAAGGCTCTGTCTCAGCTCTACAGGTGAGAAACTCTCAGGTTCACTCACCTGCTCCAGTCTGTTCAAACCACAGCTGATATATTGATCAGATATATTGATCTGATATCTCATATATTGATCTGATATCTCATATACTGATGTGTGTGCGTGTGTGTGTGTGTGTGCGCAGGCGTTGTTTCCTGATCTATCGTTACCCGGGAAAACCAGCCACCGTGATCTCAGAGGACGACTTTGTTGACAAGGTGAGGCAGGTTGTATTTCCTGTCAGTGGCTGAACTGTGATTGGCTGATCAGTTTGTGTGTGATCAATAAAGTAAATAACCTGTCCCAGCAGGTCACATGACTTTAATCTCTGTGATGTGATTGGTCAATAGTGTTGTGTGTTGCCTAGGTGACGCTGTGTTGCTCCATCAACGGCCACTACGACATTGTTTACCCGAGGAGTTACCCCGCCTCCGCCGCCCTGTGTCAGTGTGAGTACTGATCACTGATCAATCAGAGCGATTGGCAGATGTAAAGGAACAGTACAGACGTGTGTGTGTGTGTGTGTGTGTGTGTGTGTGTGTAGCTCTCCTGTACGAGCTGATCTACACTCAGGTGTTCGGGGTGGAAGAGGCGGAGCTCTCTCAGGCCATGGAAGCCTTCAGGGTTGGAGGTCGTCGCTATAGAAACAGCCCGTCAGTGTGCAGTGACATCGACATCGGCTACGACACACCTGAGGACCGAGGTCACAGGTACACGCACACGCTTTAAAGCTGATAATGTCATCGGACTGTGAGCAGATCACTCAAACCACTTCCTGAGGAGGTCTCGGACTCTGAGTTGTGGTCCACAGTGAAGCAGCTCCTCCTCACTAATCTGAGATCAGCAGCAGCTGTTTGTAAACTCACTGAATTTAATAATCTCAATATCGCCAGACTCCACTCAAAAATCATTCCGTTTTACACTTATTAGTTATTATATTATATGTTACTAGGGTTATTAGTTTATATTATATATTATGTTATTAGGGTTATTAATAGTTTATATAATATATTATTAGTGTTATTAGTTTATATTATATGTTGTTAGGGTTATTTCTAGTATATATTATGTTATTAGGGTTATTAATAGTTTATGTTATATATTAGGGTTATTATTAGATATTATATATTAGGGTTATTATTAGTTTATATTATATATGTATGTGTATATGTGTGTGTGTGTGTGTGTGTGTGTGTGTGTGTGTATATATATAATTCAATTTTATTTGTATAGCGCCAATTCATAACAGAAGTTATCTCAGGACACTTTTCAAATAGAGCAGGTCTAGACCGAACTCTTTAAAACATTAATTACAGAGACCCAACAGTACCACCATGAGCAAGCACTTGGCGACAAGGGCAAGGAAAAACTGCCTGTTAAAAGGCAGAAACCTAGGACAGATCCTCCGGCTCTAGGTGGGTGGTCGTCTGTCTCGACCAGTTAGATAGATGATAGATAGATAGATAGATAGAGAGAGAGAGAGAGAGAGAGAGAGAGAGCCCCACGAGAACCTGCGAGACGAGAAAGCACAAGAACTCCGGGGAAGAAGTGGAGTAAGGGACATGAGTGCAGAAAGAGAGAGGAAGAGAGTAGCTCAGTGCACCATGGGAAATCCCCCGATAGTCTAGGCCTATAGCAGCATAACTAAGGGATGGTTCAGGACTCACCTGATCCAGCCCTAACTATAAGCTTTATCAAAGAGGAATGTCTTAAGCCTACTCTTGAATGTGGTGAGGGTGTCTGCCTCCCGAACCACAACTGGAAGCTGGTTCCACAGGAGAGGAGCTTGGTAACTGAAGGCTCTGGCTCCTGTTCTACTTTTAGAGACTATAGGAACCACAAGTAGCCCAGCATTCAGAGAACGTAGTGTTCTAGTGGGGTAATAGGGTACTATGAGCTCTTTAAGATATGAAGGGGCCTGACCATGAAGAGCTTTATAGGTGAGGAGGAGGATTTTAAATTCCAATGCAGAGAAGCTAGTACAGGAGAGATGTGATCTCTTTTTCTAGTTCCTGTCAGTACTCGTGCTGCAGCGTTCTGAATTAATTGGAGCGTTTTAATGGACTTATTGGGGCAACCTGATAATAAAGAGTTGCAGTAATCCAGCCTTGAAGTAACAAATGCATGGATTAGTTTTTCTGCATCTGTCTGTGATAGTATGTGTCTAATTTTTGTAATATGACGTAAATGGAAGAAGGCAGTCTTAGAGGTTTGCTTTATGTGGGAGTTAAATGACAAATCCTGATCAAAGATAACTCCAAGATTCCTGACAGTGGTGCTAGAGGCCAAGTTAATGCCATCTAGAGTGACTATATCTTTAGACAATGAGTCTCTAAGGCTTTTGGGGCCAAGAACAAGAATTTCGTTTTTTTCTGAGTTTAACATCAGAAAATTGCAGGTCATCCAGGATTTTATGTCCTTAAGACATGTTTGTTATTTAGATAATTGATTAATTTCATTGGGTTTGATTGATAGATATAACTGCGTATCATCTGCATAACAGTGAAAGTTAATGGAGTGATTCCTAATAATGTTGCCTAAAGGGAGCATATATAAAGTAAATAGTATTGGTCCAAGTACAGAACCTTGTGGAACTCCATGACTAACTTTAGTATTTATGGAGGATTCATCGTTAACATGTACAAACTGAGAACGATCTGATAAGTATGACTTAAACCAGGTTAGGGCAGTTCCTTTAATGCCAATTTGATGCTCAAGTCTCTGTAAAAGAATATCGTGGTCAATGGTGTCAAATGCAGCACTAAGATCTAATAATACAAGTACAGAGACAAGTCCATTGTCAGAAGCAGTCAGAAGGTCATTATTAACTTTAACCAGAGCTGTCTCTGTGCTATGATGAACTCTAAATCCTGACTGAAAATCCTCAAATAAACTATTGTTATGTAGAAAGTCACACAACTCTTTGGCGACTACTTTCTCCAGAATCTTAGAGAGGAACGGGAGGTTAGAAATCGGTCTATAGTTGGCTAAAACCCCTGGGTCAAGAGTAGACTTTTTAAGAAGGGGTTTAATTACAGCTACTTTAAAGGACTGTGGTACATATCCTGATAATAAAGAAAGATTAATCATATCCAGTAAAGAAGTGCCAATTAGGGGAACAACTTCTTTAAGCAGCCTAGTTGGGATCGGGTCTAATAGACAGGTTGATGGCTTCGATGAAGAAATGATTGAAGTTAACTGATGAAGATCGATAGCAGAAAAACAGTCTAAATATATATCTAAGTTTACATTGATTGATATATATATATATATATATATATATATATGCATGTATATATACGTGTGTATGTGTGTGTGTGTGTGTGTATATATATTTTATATATATTATATGTGTGTGTGTGTGTGTGTGTATATATATATATATGTGTATGTGTGTATATATATGTGTATGTATATGTATATATATTGTGTATATGTGTGTATATATGTGTGTATATATATATATTGTGTGTGTATATATATATATATATGTGTGTGTTTGTGTGTGTGTATATATATATATATATGTGTGTGTATATATATATATGTGTGTATATATATGTGTATGTGTATATATATATGTGTATATGTGTGTATATATATGTATATATATGTGTGTATATATATGTGTATTTGTGTATATATATATGTGTATATGTGTGTATATATTTTTTTTTTTTTTTTTTTTATGTGTGTATATTATGTTATATATATATGTGTATATGTGTGTATATATATGTGTGTATATGTGTGTATATATATGTATATATATGTGTGTGTGTATATATGTATATATGTGTGTGTATATATATGTGTGTGTATATATGTGTGTGTGTGTGTGTATATGTGTTGTGTGTGTGTTATATGTGTGTGTGTGTGTGTTATGTGTTGTGTGTGTGTTGTGTGTGTGTGTGTTGTGTTGTGTTTGTGTGTATGTGTTGTGTTGTGTATTGTGTGTTGTGTGTGTATATGTGTTGTGTGTGTGTGTGTGTGTGTGTGTGTGTTGTGTGTGTGTGTGTGTGTGTGTGTATATAATGTGTGTGTGTGTATATAATGTGTGTGTGTGTTATTAGGGTTATTATTAGTAGTTATTATATATGACGTGACCCGCTGTCTACCACAGACTTATTATCTGTTGTAAACATTAAGTTGTTTCCAGCGTGTTGTCTGGACGGTGATCCAACGTCCTCTCTTGTGTCCACTGTGAGAGACTGTTGGACTGACTGTTACTGTCTCTGACATTAATGTCTGTCTTCATCATCTGAGCTCAAACATCAGATTAACACTCTTAATGTTCAGTTATAAAATCCCACAACGCACCAGAGTCTCTGCTGCAGGCTGCTGATGGAGGACAGTGATAATGGACACTGATAATGGACAGTGACTGACAGAGGACACTGATAATGGACACTGACTGACAGAGGACACTGATAATGGACACTGACTGATTGAGGACACTGATAATGGACAGTGATAATGGACACTGACTGATTGAGGACAGTGATAATGGACACTGACTGATTGAGGACAGTGATAATGGACACTGACTGATTGAGGACAGTGATAATGGACACTGATAATGGACACTGACTGATTGAGGACAGTGATAATGGACACTGACTGACTGAGGACAGTGATAATGGACACTGACTGATTGAGGACAGTGATAATGGACACTGACTGATTGAGGACAGTGATAATGGACACTGACTGATTGAGGACAGTGATTGATAGAGGACTCTAACTTCCAGGTGTGTTTGTTTTTTCCTCAGGGAGGAGCTGGAGGCGGGTGGAGCTGCTGAGGAGAAACTTCGAGCTGTGACTGATGAATCAAAGGTGGGAGGAGTCTTCATGATGTCACCGTCTGAGTCCTTAATGATTATCTGACTGAAATCCTTGTTTTTATTGGTCAGCCTCCAGCTGAAGCCCCGCCCCCTTCCAGACTGTCTCTTCCTTATAAGGTAATGAAGTCTCTGGACTGGGAAGTCTACAGAAACCTGGAGTTTGATGTCTGGCAGGACACCTGCAAAGGTAACACACACACACACACACTTTAAACCTTTATGAGATTATTGATTATTAGTTATTTGTGGGTTGATGAACAGTTTTTGCTTAAAAAATCTGAATGAATAACAGAAGCAGGTGAAGTGTTCACCGATGGTGAGCTGATCAGTGTGTGACAGTAATGATCAATAATGATCAATAATGATCAATAATGAGTGTCCCTGTACTGATGTCACATTCCTCTGGACTCAGAGATGCAGAAGACAGACTACATGGTGTTTGCAGGGAGGCAGTACTTCCTGGGCGACAAGTGTCAGGTAATACACGTATGCCCTGGCCCTGGTCCTGGCCCTGGACCTGGCCCTGGTCCTGGTCCTGGTCCTGGCCCTGGTCCTGGCCCTGGCCCTGGTCCTGGCCCTGGCCCTGGTCCTGGCCCTGGCCCTGGTCCTGTTTAATGTCTAATGTTTGGGGAATGTTTCAGGTGCGTCTGGAGCCGAAGGGGAAGTACTACAACGCCTTCATCCAGGAAGTAGGAACGCACTCGTCAGCCGTCACCGTGTTCATCGAGGAGCTGGGAGAGAAGTAACTCACACAACCTCAAACACCCTAAACCAAAGTCTGGACCCTGAGGACCCGATCTGATGGTCCCAACTGATCCTCACTGAGCAGTGTTGTTATAATAATGTCAGGGTCGGAGTTACACTTTAATGTTTCCTCTCTGTGCGTCAGACACCTGGTTCCTCTGACCGACCTGAAACCAGTGAATCCGGTTCCCGCCTGGAATGTCGCTGCTCCGACCAGAAAAGGAGACCTGGGTACGTTTCCACATACACATTGATAACCACTTCCTGTCAGGTTTCAGTTCAAACAATAAACCCTTCCTAAGCCCCGCCTCTTTTGCTCTGTGCTCCAATCACAGTTGAGCAATCTCGGTCACCTTCCTCTCCTGCATTTAGACAGGTTACACTGTAATTAGAGCCCAAAGGGGCGGGGCTTAGGAAGGGTCAGCTGATGACCTCATTACCTCGTCCTGTCAGACTTGGACTCTCGTGGTCAACGACATCACCGCCACCGGTACTTCAGGAAGTCTCGTGGCAGCAGTGGCGTGAAGGGGGCGGAGCTGCTGATGCCGCCGCCATCCTCCTATGGAGGCCCCGCCCCCTCTGGCCTGCCCCCTCGCTTCCAGCCAGCAGGTCACCCCCGCCCGCCCCCTCCCCCGTCACCGGGAGCCATGACCTACGACCCCTATGCACCCCAACACCACCACCACCACCACCACCACCCCACAGCCAGACCTCCTCGCTACGGAGCCTCCAGGTGGGACATTGTACCTGACCTTCTGTTACCTGCTCCGACTGATTGATCCATAACGATTGATCCATAACGATTGATCCATAACGATTGATTGGCAGAATGCTTTTCTTTTGTGTGTCTACCTGTCTCGTGGATTCTGGTCAGAAGCTCAACCCGTTTCCTGAACCGGCACCTGATTGGTCCACAGTTGACCTATTACCACCCTGGCAGACGTTATTATCACGACTACGAGAACTACGCCTTCAGGTCACGGTAAACACAGAGACACACACACACACACACACTGACTGTTGACTGGCTGACTGTTGACTGGCTGACTGACTGTGTGTTCAGTCGCAGTCGCCGTCAGCTGAATAAAGAGTGTCAGTTCGGGTTCTCAGCGGAGGCGGTGGAGGAGCCGACTGATCTGGATCCAACGATGGCGTACTACCAGCTGGACGACGCGGGGGACGCCGTCTTCCCTCCGCTGCCGGTGAGGAACCAGAGTAAATAATAACAATCTGTAATAAACGAGGATATCACAGACTTAAACATTCGTACTGATCAACCAAACTCGTTTTAAAATGGCTCCTCCCTCAGGGTCAGGCAGTGGCCCCGCCCCCTACAATGGGAGCCCCGCCCCCTCAGTCTAGCTCCTCCTACCGGGTTCAGAGAGGCTCGGGGCCCCTCCCTCCCACACCTCCACCTGGGAACACGCCGGTCTGTTCCTCCGAGGAGGACCAGGAGGACAGGAGCACCGTGGAGGACCAGGGTGAGCAGAATCAATGTTATTGATAACTTCTGATCAGCTGATGAACAATTGGATACATAGACGTCAACGTATTATTGATTATATATAGGGATGGGTCCGATCCGGTATCGGGACTGATACCAGCGTAATTCACGTATCGGAATTTCCCGATCCAACCTGCGCAGATTTCCGATATCCATGAGCCATGTGTGCGCTTTAACGTTGTCTGCTGCTAGCTGGCTGCAAACTGTGGGATGGATTTCCTGAACGGAGGTGCGGCTCAATGAGACACAGAGTTATGAGACACGCCCCCGCTCAGGAAATCCATTCCACAGTTTGCAGCCAGCTAGCAGGATAGCATTGAGCAGCATTGTGGATAGCCAACATGTCCGCTGTGTGGAAATACTTTACACTGGAAACAGAGCAAGACAGCAAAATGCAATGTTTGCAAAGCCGTAATTCAGCGCCCTCGCGTCGTACAACACTACGAACGCAATCAAACGTTTAAAGAAAGCACCACACGAAACAGCACGAGGATTTTTTAGGCGAGCTGTCAGGAATCACTTCTGGAGTCATTCCAAAAACAAGTTAAACTCCAGGCAGACAGAGTGTGTGTGTGTGTGTGTGTAAGATGTTTACACTTATTGCACTTTTCTTATATTTCAAGACTCAAATATTTGACATTTTGTGAATTTAATAAATATTGACATGACAATTTGAAACCCTTACAGTTACATATTTGTTTTCAGGATGGGATTTTTCCTGTTAACAGGATTTCCTGTTTTTCTGACTTCCTTTTCTGACCTTATACTCACCTCAAGTTTCCTTTTGGGACATACATGCATACATACGTACAGATCATACTTGCCTGGTGAGAGGAGTTTATTTCAGCCTCATATAAAATCAACAATAATGATGATAATAATATTAAAGCAAACAGAGCTCTGGTATCGGTATTGGCCGATATCCAAATTCAGGTATCGGGATCGGATCGGAAGTGAAAAAATGTGGATCAGTGCATCCCTAATATTATAGTTTAATTAATTTTATCGATTCAATTATCGATTAAATACGCAAAACAGTTCAAATATTCACACAGTGAGTTCTCTCACTTTCTCTTCCACTGACTCACTCCTCTGCCAGGCTTTTATTGTGTAAAGTTCAGCAGGAAGTGTTGAGTTTTTATGATGATGATGATGAGGCCTGTCTGTCTGTCTGTCTTCCAGCGGAGTACACAGAGGAGTACATCTACATCACTCAGGGTGAGTCACATGATCAGTGTGTAGAAAGGTTCCAGCTGTGCAGACAGGAAGTGACTGACACTGTGTTCCAGATCAGAGCTACCAGACCTCAGGTGTTTACACTGCAGCGGAGCCCTCCACCAACCAGGTAACTCCTGACCTCTGACCTCTGACCTCTGTCCTCTGTACTGTTCAACAGCGCAGCACCTCGTCTGACGTCTGAATACAGGGGTATTGATCAGGTCACATGATCAGTGATGTCACAAATCTCAGGAGCTCCATCGAGGACAAAAAATGTCTTGTGTTTTCTCTTATTGTGAAAGGACGAGCAGGAAGGAGGTACTGCTGACTCTCCTCCGAGACCAGAGATGAACTACAGCTACACCCAGCAGGTAGAGAATATTACTGCCCTCTGATTGGCTGCTGGGTGTCCCTTACTTCCTGGTGTAGGACACTGAGGCTGCGTTTCATTAGTTGTTCAACACGCCCTCGTTCAACACGCCCTCGTTCAACACGCCCTCGTTCAATTGCCCTCGTTCAATTGCCCTCGTTCAACACGCCCTCGTTCAATTGCCCTCGTTCAATTGCCCTCGTTCAACACGCCCTCGTTCAATTGCCCTCGTTCAATTGCCCTCGTTCAACACGCCCTCGTTCACATTGCCCTCGTTCAATTGCCCTCGTTCAACACGCCCTCGTTCAACACGCCCTCGTTCAACACGCCCTCGTTCAACACGCCCTCGTTCACTTGCCCTCGTTCAACACGCCCTCGTTCAACACGCCCTCGTTCACTTGCCCTCGTTCAACACGCCCTCGTTCAACACGCCCTCGTCCACACGCCCTCGTTCAACACGCCCTCGTTCAACACGCCCTCGTTCACTTGCCCTCGTTCAACACGCCCTCGTTCACTTGCCCTCGTTCAACACGCCCTCGTTCAACACGCCCTCGTTCACTTGCCCTCGTTCAACACGCCCTCGTTCACTTGCCCTCGTTCACTTGCCCTCGTTCACACGCCCTCGTTCAACCGCCCTCGTTCACTTGCCCTCGTTCACTTGCCCTCGTTCAACACGCCCTCGTTCAACACGCCCTCTTTCAACACGCCCTCGTTCACTTGCCCTCGTTCACTTGCCCTCGTTCAACACGCCCTCGTTCACTTGCCCCTCGTTCAACACGCCCTCGTTCAACACGCCCTCGTTCACTTGCCCTCGTTCACTTGCCCTCGTTCAACACGCCCTCGTTCAACACGCCCTCTTTCAACACGCCCTCGTTCACTTGCCCTCGTTCACTTGCCCTCGTTCACTTGCCCTCGTTCAACACGCCCTCGTTCAACACGCCCTCGTTCAACACGCCCTCGTTCAACACGCCCTCGTCCACTTGCCCTCGGGGGAATCCCCGCCGCCATCATAAGTGTTGTTCCAATTGTCTGTAAACTGAAGTGAACTTGGTGAGATGGACCCTCGGAGGGCTGAGGGAGCGAGTGAACGAGTGTCACTCCGAGGTGGATATCACCCACAATGCATTGCAGCTTACGTCATTGCCGCTATAACGGCGACCGCTACCAATGAGTAGACTCCAAGGGCAAGTGCGTTTCTTTTAAATCCCCCGCTCCTCCCCCGCCCACTTTCCCTCCGCGCTCCAAGTGGCCTCCGTGCGACGTATGCTGTTACGTCATAACGAGGGCTGAGGGGAAGTGGAACTACTAACGTTAGCTGTGTGGTAGCGTAAAGTTAGCTGTGTGGTAGCGTACGTTAGTGTGTGGTGCGTACGTTAGCTGTGTGGTGCGTAACATTAGCTGTGTGGTAGCGTAACGTTGCTCGGTAGCGTAACGTTGCTGTGTGGTAGCGTAACGTTAGCTCTGTGGTAGCGTAACGTTAGCTGTGTGGTAGCGTAACGTTAGCTGTGTGGTAGCGTAACGTTAGCTGTGTGGTAGCGTAACGTTAGCTGTGTGATTGGAGGGAACTAGTAACTAACAAATATCTCCCGTTGGTTCGTCCTATTTACTGGAGCAGTGAACAATGTTTCCATTGCATTAGTACATTATGGGATGGAGTGAGTGTGCGTGCGTGTGTGTGTGTGTGTGTGTGTGTGTTTCAGGTAGTGAAGCCATTAGCAGTTGTCTGCTCTTCACCTTCCTCCTCCTCCTCCTCACCCTCTTCTCCATCATCACGTGTACCTGCAGCTGCTCACCTGCCGCCAGCCACACAGACACGCTCAGGTACACAGACACACACACACACACACACACACACAGACACACAGAGCACACACAGACACACACAGACACACAGAAACGCACACACAGACACACAGACACACACAGACACACACACACACAGACACACACACACACACACACAGAAACGCACACACAGACACACACACACACAGAAACGCACACACAGACACACAATTATTATAATCAATCTATTTACATTATTTTATGTTTTCTGTTGTTAGTTGCCATGGCGATCCCAGCTGCCTCTCCCTGGTTGGTTAATGAGTTGGGTGAGGCTCTGTGCACCGTGGTAGCTCCGCCCCCTTACTCCTATGATCCAAACGGCAGTGACTTACCCAGAGGTCAGAGGTCAACAGACGTAAACCGTGTTGCTGTGTGTCAGTGTGAATCACTGTCAGAGCGCTAGGGGAGGGGCCACGGGAACATACCGGGACAGTGAGACGGCGTAGACGGTTTAATTTCACGAGGACACACAGCTTCATTGTTGATCAATATCGTAAACAGTCAGTGCTCGCCAATCTGACACACAGCAACAGGTACACACTTCCTGCTGCAGCTTCCTGTCACATGACTGTGTGTGTGTGTGTGTGTGTGTGTGTGTGTGTGTGTGTGTGTGTGTGTAGACTGCAGGGTCCTCCAGTATTACTTCAACTTGGGCGTCCAGGTGAGTCTGCAGATTCTATCAGGTGTGTCTGACCTGCAGGTGTAGTCTCTAACCCCCCCCACCCACCCACAGTGGTACCATCAGAGCTGTTGGCAGCAGCAGCAGGTGTACCCCGCCACCTCACCGGAGGCCCCCTACCCCTACCAGCACTACACCCCCTACCTGAGCCAGGAGCCCCCCATGCACGGTAAGACCTACAGTGATTACACAATAAGAGTCTGAGGGCAGATTTTCACAATAAGAGTTTCATTAAAGAGGAATTTTGGAGGGTGAGTGAGTCCTGATCCTGGTGACCCAATTCTGGTCTTCTGCCCTCAGCTGGTCCTCCTTTGTACCCTGAGACAGCTCGAGGCCCCCATCAGCCCCCCTCCTCCTACCCAGAATCCTCCAGGGCAGGAGACGGACAGACAGACGGACACAGCAACAGTCAGTACTGATGACCGTCTGTTATTAAACCTTGTTAATGAGACTCATAGAACAATTAATGTTTCATTGTAATAAATATCCTCACACCTGAAAACACCTGGAACACCTGGAATAAAGTCTGTTTGACTTGTTTTGTCTCCTCCATGAACAGGCCCCGCCCCCTCAATGGACAGCTCCTCCTTCAACTCTGCCCCCCCAGGCTCCGCCCCCTCCTCAGCTCTCCTGTACCAGGATCAAACGGCCCCTCCCCCTCTGCTACACCTGCCATACGAAGCTCCGCCCCCGGCTGCCTACCTGCCCTCTGCCCCTCCCCCTCTTCCTCTTCCTGCTCATCCACACCCCGCCCACCTCCCCCATCACTCCTCCTACCACCCCTGCCTCCCCCCCTCCACCCACTGGGGGGCTCTGCAGACAGGAGGCCACGCCCAACGAGTCTACTGCCCCGCCCCCAGCACCACCCATGTGGTCGGTTACATTACAGCCCCACCCCCCCACCACACAGCCGCACATTACATCCCCCCCACCATCTGACCCTTCACTAATTAGCTTGTGGCTAACAAAAGTGTTTGTTTTCAGTGAGCAGTGCTAGCAGCGCTAACAGGAAACCTTGTATTTCCTGTTAACATTTCAAAATAAAATTTAAAAAATCAAGAAAAGATTTAAATTAATGTTAATGTGTAAAAATTAAAAACAAGGTTTTCCTGTGTTAGCACATGCTAGCTGTTAGCTGTGTAATACTTCATACTTGACTCGGTCACTTCCTGTTTAATTGTTTACCTCGTTAGCGAAAGGCTCGCTAAAGCAGCATGAACAGCCCCCCTGTTGTTGCCGAGGCAACACAGGTGACGGCGTCCTCGGTCGCCGCAGTTCAGTTCATTGTTCAAACGTCCACCAGCCAGTCAGAGAGAGGGGGCGGGGCTGGGGGCGTGGTCAGTCCCTGTTTATTGATGAAGGGATATATTTGTGTTTGTTCTTACTGGTGGTTTGTTTATTGTTTGTTTGTTTGTGTCACTGGGTGAATAAAGTTTGTTTCAGCAGCAGACCACTTCTGTTTATCTGAGATGACGTCACATGACCTCAATGACTCAGCAATAGATATTACCTCATCATGAAATAAAATAAACTAGTTTCCATAGAAACGAGACGAAAGTAAAAAAAAAAAGCAAAAAACCTTTATTAACAAAACAAATACAGATTTATTATTGTTGTTGTTATAACAACCGCAGCACATAACAGGAACATGTTGACGATCCAACAACAAACACAGGAAGTGGGTGTGTTGTCATAGTAACAGCTCTGCAGGGATCTTCACTGTCCAGAGGTCGCGACCTCCGCGGGCGCTCAGCGGCTCCTTCAGCCAGCGAGGGTTGGACAGGTGAGTCAGGTGTTTCTCCTGCAGACCAATCAGAACGGCTGACCGCTCCAGCTGCTGTAGCTCCTCCCCCTGCAGGGAGGTGGAGCACTGCCAGGTCTCGCCCACATCCACCAATCCTGAAAGAGATCCAAGCAGGTGAGACCTTCAGGTACGCCTCATCGACCACCAGCAACGTCAAGGACCACCGACCCACCTGCCACAACGCCACGGCCAAACCGTTCCCCAGACTCTAGAAGCGCTCGGATCTGAGCTGGGTCCATACCCAGCGGGCCGCCCAGCACCGCCCTCCAGTCCTGCCCCTCCCAGTCCCGCTGCGCAATGTGGACCGCCAGAGTCTGGTTCTCCAGTGGGGCCAGCAGGGGCTTCCAGCGGCTCTCCACTGTCTTCACCCCGTCCAGAACCAGACCGGCGTACGGCTGCCGGAACGACAGACACCACACAGGCACCGCCATGTCTACGAAACAAACACACCCAGACTGAGAATGAGTGTTTATCAATGATTCATCAAAAAGGACACTTCCACCTTTTATTAAACTGTAACTGTCCCTCTGCTGTTGATGGATTCCTGTTACAGTTACCGTTCAGTTACTGGGGTCGTTGGGTGTTTTCGTTCCGATTTAATAAAATGTGTTTATAATAATAAATATATATATATAGCTCATAGTACCCTATTACCCCACTAGAACACTACGTTCTCTGAATGCTGGGCTACTTGTGGTTCCTATAGTCTCTAAAAGTAGAACAGGAGCCAGAGCCTTCAGTTACCAAGCTCCTCTCCTGTGGAACCAGCTTCCAGTTGTGGTTCTGGAGGCAGACACCCTCACCACATTCAAGAGTAGGCTTAAGACGTTCCTCTTTGATAAAGCTTACCTTCCTCTCTCTTTCTGCACTCATTCATGTTCCATTAATGCATGTTACTAACTTCACTTCTTCCCCGGAGTTCTTGTGCTTTCTCACCTCACAGGTTCTTATCGATCCTGGTGGAGCCTCCTGCCATGGTCCTGCTAGATTGCCATTGCCAATTCCTTTTGTTGCTGTGCACCTGTCTGTCTGTCTCTCTCACGCACCCACCTAGAGCCGGAGGATCTGTCCTAGGTTTCTGCCTTTTAACAGGCAGTTTTTCCTTGCCCTTGTCTCCAAGGTCTTGCTCATGGTGGTACTGTTGGGTCTCTGTAATTAATGTTAAAGAGTTCGGTCTAGACCTGCTCTATTTGAAAAGTGTCCTGAGATAACTTCTGTTATGAATCGGCGCTATACAAATAAAATTGAATTGAATTAAAAAAGAACTGGTCGCTGCTGGATTAAAGTGGGAGATTAATTGGACCCCCGCAGGGCGATCTCATGTCCCCCACAAAATGTAATACAGTCCACAATCTGTGATAGTGAATGCCTGTTTTTCTTTACCAGCTCATTGTGTCTCTGTACAGGATGCGGTGGCCCTCATTAAGCTGACAGCCGATATTCACTTTACCCAGCAATGACAGTGTTACACTATTTCCAATGTGGCTTGTGCTGCATTCATGTTTCCTAATTTTAATTGGAGCGTTTTAATGGACTTATTGGGGCAACCTGATAATAAAGAGTTGCAGTAATCCAGCCTTGAAGTAACAAATGCATGGATTAGTTTTTCTGCATCTGTCTGTGATAGTATGTGTCTAATTTTTGTACACCAGCTCTCCACTGAGCTAACCGGGCGCCCCATTTTTATGTTTTTTATTAACGAGAGAGAGCGAAGACAGAGGTGCACAGCACAACAGTGCAACAACAAATAGTGAATGTCTGTGATAGGATGTGTCTAATTTTTTTAAAGTCCAAATAAAGAAGTAGAGGTTTGCTTTATGTGGGAGTTAAATGGCAAATCCTGATCAAAGATAACTCCAAGATTCCTGACAGTGGTGCTAGAGTCTAAGGTAATGCCATCTAGAGTAACTATATCTTTAGACAGTGAGTCTCTAAGGTTTTTGGGGCCAAGAACAAGAATTTTGTTTTTTTCTGAGTTTAACATCAGAAAATTGCAGCTCATCCAGGATTTTATGTCCTTAAGACATGTTTGTAATTTAGATAATTGATTAATTTCATGGGGCTTGATTGATAGATATAACTGCGTATCATCTGCATAACAGTGAAAGTTAATGGAGTGATTCCTAATAATGTTGCCTAAAGGGAGCATATATAAAGTAAATAGTATTGGTCCAAGTACAGAACCTTGTGGAACTCCATGACTAACTGTAGTATTTATTGAAGATTCATCGTTAACATGTACAAACTGCGAGCGATCTGATAAATATGACTTAAACCAGCTTAGTGCGGTTCCTTTAATGCCAATTTGATGCTCAAGTCTTGTAAAAGAAAATCATGGGATAATACAAGTACAGAGACAAGTCCATTGTCAGAAGCAGTCAGAAGGTCATTATTAACTTTAACCAGAGCTGTCTCTGTGCTGTGATGAACTCTAAATCCTGACTGAAAATCCTCAAATAAACTATTGTTATGTAGAAAGTCACACAACTCTTTGGCGACTACTTTCTCCAGAATCTTAGAGAGGAAGGGGAGGTTAGAAATCGGTCTATAGTTGGCTAAAACCCCTGGGTCAAGAGTGGGCTTTTTAAGAAGGGGTTTAATTACAGCTACTTTAAAGGACTGTGGTACATATCCTGATAATAAAGAAAGATTAATCATATCCAGTAAAGAAGTGCCAATTAAGGGAACAACTTCTTTAAGCAGCCTAGTTGGGATCGGGTCTAATAGACAGGTTGATGGCTTCGATGAAGAAATGATTGAAGTTAACTGATGAAGATCGATAGCAGAAAAACAGTCTAAATATATATCTAAGTTTACATTGACAGAAGTCCCTGAACTTGGAGAGCCACTGATAACTGTTGATGGCAGTTGGTGATTAATTTTTTCTCTAATAGTAATAATTTTATTATAGAAGAAGCTCATGAAGTCATTGCTACTTAAGTTTATGGGGATATGTGGCTCAATAGAGCTGTGACTCTCTGTCAGCCTGGCTACAGTGCTGAAGAGGAACCTAGGGTTATTCTTATTTTCTTCTATTAGTGCTGAGTAATAGGCTCCTCTGGCATTACGGAGGGCCTTTCTATAAGTTTTAAGATTATCTTGCCAATTTGAGCGATATTCTGATAATTTGGAAGAGCGCCATTTCCTTTCAGATTTCCTAGCTATTTGTTTTAACTGGCGGGTTTGGTGGTTATACCAAGGTGCTAGTCTCCTATGTTTTAATAATTTCCTTTTTATAGGAGCGATAGAGTCTAATGTTGATCGTAGTGAGCCTGTAGCACTATCGACAAGATTATCAATTTCAGAGGGACTAAAGTCGTTATAGGACTCTGTTAAATTCAGACATGGCATTGAATTAAACACTGAAGGAATCTCCTCCTTAAATTTAGCTACAGCACTGTCAGATAGACATCTGCTGTAGGAAGTTTTGCCTAATGGCTTATAATCTAATAGTATGAATTCAAAAGTTATTAAATAATGGTCAGATAGGAAAGGATTATGTGGGAAGACTATTAAATGTTCAATATCAATGCCATATGATAAAACAAGGTCAAGAGTGTGATTAAAACAATGAGTTGGTTTATTTACACTCTGACAGAAGCCAATTGAGTCTATTAATGATATAAATGCATTACTAAGGCTGTCATTGTTAACATCCACATGAATATTAAAATCACCTACAATAATTACTTTATCTGATTTAAGGACTAAACTTGATAGAAACTCTGAGAATTCAGATATAAAATCAGAGTACGGTCCAGGAGCGCGGTACACTATAACAAATAGAACTGGCTGCAGTGTTTTCCAGTTTGGGTGAGAAAGACTAAGAACAAGGCTTTCAAATGAATTATAATTTAGTTTAGGTTTAGGGTCCATTAAAACGCTCGAATCATGTATGGCTGCTACTCCACCTCCTCGGCCAGTGCCTCGAGGAATGTGAGTATTAATATGACTGGGGGGGTGGATTCATTTAGGCTAACATACTCCTCGTGGGACAACCAGGTCTCAGTAAGACAAAGTAAATCAATATCATAATCTGATATTAATTCATTCACTAAAACAGCTTTAGAGGACAGAGACCTGATATTTAACAGCCCACATTTCATTCTCTTATTTTGTGCTACTGAGGAGTTGGTTTTAATTTTTATTAGATTTTTATGTTTGAACTCCTCTTGTTTTTATTTCTTTAAATAATTTAGGTGGTTGGGGGACAGACACAGTCTGTATGGGGGTTTGGGTGGGTGACTGTACTAATGGAAGAGCAGAGAAGTGTGTAAGACAGCAGCTCTGCTTCCTGGTCCCAACTCTGGACTGTCAGGTTTTAGAGATAAACTTCGCCATATTTCTAGATAAGAGAGCCGCTCCATCCAAAGTGGGATGGATGCCGTCTCTCCTAATCAGACCAGGTTTTCCCCAAAAAGGCTGCCAGTTATCAATGAAGCCCACATCGTTTTCTGGACACCACCTCGACAGCCAGCGGTGGAATGACGACATGCGGCTATACATGTCATCACTGGTCACATTGGGGAGGGGTCCAGAGAAAACTACGGTATTCAGTCAATCAGCCGATCACCTGTCAAACACACAGGTTGCAAAGTACACATCTAAGACCACAGATTCTCTCAGAACGAGACAGGGCCTGGAGAATGTTTCGTGCTTCATATCTGAACTGCTGACCACAGATGACAACCAGCCACATCCAGATGCAGACACAGCTGCAGCTGCTGTAACACCGCACAGGATGCGGTGCTCTGATAATGTGTCAGTAGCCACACAGTGCGCTTTGAGAAAGCCAGGCACTTGTTGTCTTTGCATGTGCACATTACCAATGATCTGCAGGGAGAAACTGAAAGGTGAGCTGATGGTGAGGTACAGCAGGGTGGAGTTTGACATGGTGATTAACCTGTTTGCGTCACAGAAAGGCCGTCGATGTGAGCGTTTTTTTAAATAAGGTATGCCCAAGCTTAGGGCTGGGCGATATGGACCAAAAGTCATATCCCGATATATTTAAGCTGAATATCGATATACGATATATATCCCAATATTTTTTCCGCAAAGTGAGAGCAAGTGTTCAGTCTCTCTCTCTCTCTCTCTCTCTCTCTCTCTCTCTCTCTCTCGCGCTTGGAGCAAGGATCACAGCGCAAATTTGAACTATATCGATATATGCGATATGGTCTAATTCCATATCACATTTTAAAATATATCGATATATTTTTTATATCAATATATCGCCCAGCCCTACCCAAGCTCTGAATCAACTCTCTCTTCTACAAATAATTATTGTTGCTTTGGTTTTATATTTTTATTTCTGGTACATGGTGTTGCAAATTGTTGCTGGTACTTTTCTATAATGTAGTTGTGGCGCAATTGGCATGTGCTCATGTGTACAGAGGAGAGAGAGCGAGAGACAGATAGACAGAGAGAGACAGACAGACAGAGAGAGAGACAGAGAGAGAGAGAATAATAAAGAGAAAAATAATTAGTGAATTATAGAATAATATTACAAAAAATGATGATCAGTACGAGATATTCACGAAATGGAAAACTCTGGAGGCGGTGATAAAAAACAACCAAAACCCTCTAGATTACCCAGTAACAGAACAAGAATTAACAGAAGTCATCCAGTCCCTGAAAGAAAAAAAGGCTTGTGGTATTGATGGAATCCTCAACGAAATGATCAAATACTCAGACCATAAAATCAAATTGGCTATACTAAAACTATTCAGTACTATTCTGTCAACTGGAGCTTTTCCAGATATCTGGAACAAAGGTTTAATAACCCCAATTCATAAATCCGGAAATAAATATGATCCAAATAACTACAGAGGAATATGTGTCTCCAGTAACCTGTTAAAAATATTCTGCAACATCATTAACAAACGACTGGTCAACTTTCTTGATGACCACAATATTCTGCATAAATGCCAAATTGGTTTCTTGCCAAATTGCCACACAACGGACCATATATTTACCCTCCAGACTTTAACTGATCAAGAATTAAAAATTAAGGAAAGAAAGGTATATGCATGTTTCATTGACTTAAAAAAAGCCTTTGATTCCATCTGGCACAAGGGCCTTTTCTATAGGCTACTTGAAAGTGGCATTGGAGGAAAAACATATGATCTGATTAAGAACATGTATACAAAAAGTGAATGTGCCGTAAAGATTGGAAACAAACAAACAGCGTTCTTCTCCCAGGGCCGGGGAGTGAGGCAGGGATGCAATCTCACTGCAAGTTTCTTCAATCTTTATATCAATGAATTAG